CTGCATGCATAGGTAAGGTTGTTGCTGGTCCAGAGGTAGGCAGGGAGGATGTCCGGCGGAAGTAAAGCAGGTCATTCATACCACACTTAACTACTTCCTCCCCCCCTCCCCTCCCCCCCCCCCCCCCCCCCCCCCCCCTCCAGAGCTGCTGGTCCCCCCAGTGGGTATCGGTGCGGGCAGCCGGGTGGAGGGAGCCATCATCGACAAGAACGCGCGCATCGGGCGGGACTGCGTGATCGCCAACCGGGCAGGTGGGGGTGCATGCGTGTGTGTGCGTGTGCGTGTGTATCACCGCCCCTACCTGCCTACCTTCTGCTGCCTCTTGGGTCCACCTGCCTGCCTGCCGCCTACCGCGTGCGTCATACCATGGTTGATTGGTTTTCCCCCTCACCGTAGCCCGCTCCTGCATTTGCTGTTCACGCCCCCACTGCTATCCCAATCGCCTTGCCCTGACCTGTGGTTTTCTATGGTTTGGCATGTTCTTTGACCCCCCTGCCTCCCCTCCCTACCCCACCCCTCCACCACCCGCAGGCGTGTGGGAGGCCATGGATCGAGTGGGGGTGGGGCTGTGTGTGCGGGAGGGGGTGCCCGTCGTCACAAAGAGCGCAGTGCTGTACGACGGTACGGAACTGTAGATGTAGGTGGCTGGATGGGTGGCGGCGGGTGGTGGTGGTAGGGGAGTGGTGGGGTTATCAGTGCGTGGCAGGCTTGTAAGATGTAGGGTTCAGTCAGTCTCCGCAGTTATTCATCTCCTGCGGGAAGTGAGGACAGGTAGGAGGAGGCGAGAAGCAGGTTGTAGCCGCTGCAGGGTGTACCGGTCAGCAGTAGCCCGGGGGATGGAGAAGGATGAGATGTTAGCCTGTGCTGACGCGGTGGGCACACTGGTACTGTGGCAGCGTTGCCGGCTGTTCTAGCAAGGCTGACAGTAAAGAGGGCTTTGGGGGGGGAGGAGGGCTTGGAGCGTAGCCCTTGTTGACTTTTTTGTCGAAACAGCGGCAGAACGGTAAAATGGCATTTGTGCCATGGAATGTACGACACATTTAGTTTGGTGCGGGAAGGGGAGGCTGGCATGTAAACGGTGGGTTTTCCGAGGGTATTGGGACTCCGCAGTGTGCTTTCATGCATGTGTGTATCTGTACAGCTAGCTAGCACGGGTTGCGGGCATGAGGTTTACATGCCAGGGAAGTAAGCCCATAAACAGCTGGGCGGTAGCGCCTGATTTGATTAAGCATAAGCATTTCAGTCTGAGTGCATATCCTGCATTTCGGCTCAGTACTGGGCTGGGACGTCACACACACCCATTGGCAGAGCATTCCTGCCTTGTAACTCGATAAGCAATTGAGGGCCCCGGCCCCGTTCATCACTCCCCAGCCTTGTGTTGCGATATCGACATGACTGCACGATGCCAACAACAGGGGTTTCCATTGTCCAATTATTGGAGTATGTTTGTTTAAGGGGCTGTCGAACGTCGACGACTTAAGAACCAGAGCGCCGTTCAAACAAACGTTCCAATAGCATGAGTGACCCATGGGTCCGCTCGTCATTTGTGACGATGCGGCGATCCGACACACGCGAGTCGCCAATCGCAACGCACAACACCTCATAGCACACAACCTACCTACCATCAGCTTGTTTGCGCGCAGCAACAGGAAAGGGCAAACAGCGCTGCTGAGGATTCAGCACAGGCTTATTTTCATGGGGTGGGCATGTACGGCGAGCTTATTTTTCGTTTTCGTACTCTTTGGCTTCTTCGCATCACGCGTTCAACTCAGCGGATATGCATTCCGCAAAAATTATACTACTGGACTAGGTTACATGCCATTAGAGATGGCGTAGTCGGCATTCTCGACCCGAACTTTGCGTAGAAGTGACAGCTTGCACAGCTGTTAAAACCTACTTGCTAAGCAACATAGCGTTTGTTAAGCTAGCCTGGATGTAGCTCACGTTCTGTACCTTTTGGTGGACTGCCTGACATGATGCTTCGCTTAATTGCGCAAGGCCGCACTACCGTCTCTCGAGCTTTCCGTTCTTATGCTCCTGTAGCCAACGTGTGCGAAGCTACGTCTCAAATAGCTGTAACCGCCTCGGTGTCGGGGGAGCATCATCCAAATGCGACAGCTTCCTCGTCAGTGCCTTCGTGGCCCTCGCACTACGTGCTTAGTCGAAAGGAGAGCAAGGACATCACCTTAGTAAAATGTCTCCAGCGGCATCGTGTCCGCCTCACTTACAATGGGGAGTCATGGAGCACTGCGGACATTCTGCGCCAACGTACTGGTCGGGGCAGGACCACCATGCCCACAGCGGACGATAACCCTTCAAGGTACGGACGAACTTCGTGCCCGCCAGCCTGGATCATTTGCCTGTTAGGCATCCGCTCGTAATTAGCCTGATGCGCTCCTTTGCTCCAAACTCTAGGCGGCAACAGCCTGGCGACAATCGATGGGGTATGTCAGTCGGGGCCCTGCTGGGGCTCTCGCCGGAGTCGGTCCTTGCAGCAGGCGGCGAGGATGCGGGACCTGGTCCTCCGGACCAAGACTCCCCTGCTGATTGGGACGTTGCTGACAACCCGAAAGAGGTACGAAGAGGTCTAGACTGCACATGGTTGTTCTGCGCAAGGTCAACAATTATGAATAGAGACCTCCTGCATGCAACCCCTGTAAAAGGCGTATCTAATAATCAGCCATTCTCTCCATGTCAATTGTCTCCTGTCCTCGCCTCTGGAAGACCTATTTTACCCCCTATGGTTTGGTATCGTCTTTGACCCCCCCCCCCCCGCCCCACACGCACCTTCCCCGGTGTTGTTCCTCCTGCTGTCTGCACCCTTAGGAATGCGTAGAAGATGCCTACCTTTCACGCAAGATTGAGGAGTACAGAAAGTCAGGGAAATGGAAGGATAAGGCGGAGCATCCTCACATGTACTTCACACTGCCTGATGCCGCTGTCGTTATGGCAAAGACCGGTTCTGCACACGGGTCCATGTGGCGCTACAGCAACTGCAAGGTCTTCATTATCGACTGGCGCGACCAGTTCCCCGAGATCCTGCAGAAGCACTGCGGCGCCTCTGGTGGCAAGGGCTCAATCCCTTGTCCCGAGTGCATGTACGGTAGGGCAGTGCCGGGTGAATCACGCCAACAAGCGCTAGCCCGCGCATCTGCCCATGTCAATTCCAACGGTTGGGCCAAGTACCCCCGGAGCTTCATAGACTTCAACGTCACTCACTACGTCTATTCAAAGCGGTACCGGTGCCAGAAGTCCTGCGGCGGCTGTGGAGGTAGGAGTCCACGGCGTTCGCCGGTGTTGACTGGTTGTTTGCATTGCTCCTCTCCTTTGTTGCTTGCCTTGCTGTTTGTCTTGCTATCCTCCTTCATCCAAGTGCCTAATAGTGCCAATTCCATGGCTGTCGTTCTTTGCCCTTGCAAGTAGTTGGCCTGCCCTTGATTCCAGGCGCTCCGCTAGGCCGCGGCTTGGAAGCAAGGTAACAGCCTTAGTGAAGAACCCGGCCGATTTCAGGAATTTTTTCTCCGAAACCACCGAAAGTCTAATCCGTTGCTTTCAAGGTGTGCCTTTTCAAACTATTCAATAACATAAAGTTATGAAACTAACAGAGAAATGGATAGGCTAATGGAATACAAAACAAGTCTCCTGTACTTTGGTAACCTGCCCAGAAGCAAACGTTTACGCATACTTGTAGTGCTGACTATGGACATGTCAATATGGCATTTGCACAGAGCAAGAAGCATTGAGTTAATGAGACCAATGTCGTACCTTGCCACCAGCGCACTAGAAGCCGTGTATGCTTTGATTAGTTCAAGACCTTCGTGCCTTAACAACTTGAAAGCCTTCTAGCCTTCCCTTGGTGTTTACCGGTAATCATAGCACCTTTACCTTTCAAGTACTTGTTTGCGCCGACACTTATGGCTTTAAGCATACCAAACAATGGGACGATTGAGTAGAAGTGCACAACAAATAGAGTCGTTGTGTACAGCCGCAGAGGCCATACTTGCGCGCGGCAGTAAACTCAGTGCTAAGGTCTTGTTGAACGAAGTTCGTGGTAACCCACATTGCACTGACTTGACTTATAGATCTGCCAATAACTTTCTACATAGCAACAAAGTTGGGCAGCAGTATATGCGCCCTTCTCCCAACGACAATAGTCTTCCACCAAAGAAGCGATTAAGATGGACTGCCTCGGAGGGCGGCGAGGAGGACACTGACGATGACAGCACCTAAATGCATGCACACAACATCCTAGGGCCCGCCTGAGCGGCTGATGGAATGGGTGTTGGGCACATGCAACTAGGCGGGGGTGGTGCTGCGGGTACCGGGCAACTGACAGCTAGGACAAAGGGGGCAAGGGCCCGAACCTGTACCTGTACTGGGAGGGTGCATCACACGCCGTTGGCGAAAGAAATATTGGGGTACAGCTGGGTGGACTTGCAAGTGGTACCTGGTAACGTGTCGCTGGGCAACCGCAGTATTGGTCATGGTAACAAGCGAGAAACGACTGCCGCTGTTCAGCGCGCCGTCATTACACATGCAACGCAGCCCTATCTGTAACTGTACCTAACAGCATGACCGAACCGCTGCAGTCCGACCACACACACTACTATACACAACTATACACAACACATGGGCAGGCCATGAGATCGCTTCGGTCTGGTTTTTCATCCTCAGCACTTGCATGTTGCTGTACGACATATTGAAGAAGGCTATCTGATGCGGGCTATCTGACGCGGGCTATCCCCATCCCACTATCTCTCTTCCTTTGTAATTGCAGCGAACTTCCTTGCCCACAACGGGTGTCTTCTGCGGCTCTTGCCCGAAGGGCTGACCGGGATGCTCCCGTGCTACTTTACACACAAGGCCGGGATTAGCAAGGGCTTAAAGGTGCAGTTGGACCGTGATGTAACGGAGGGCACGTCGTTCAACGACTTTGCTTACCGAGTGCGTGAGCTACACGCGCACCGGTCTCTGTCGCTCGCTCTACAGTATGCCAGCATAGCAGCTCTGGCTCCAGTCCAGAGTGGGCAGCGCCAGCTGACCGAGTACTTCCGGCCTATGGGTAGCACGTCGGCGCAAGTGCGACCAGGTAATGACTTATTGGCGCAACGGCAGACCCAGGAGCAGCGGCAAGGAGAGCAGCCCCAAGTAGTCCAAGCTACGACGCTCCTGGCGCAGCTACGGATGCTGCAGGTGGCGGCATTGCTGGCTCAGCAGCAGCCCGGAGGACAGCTTCAGGGACTACATTGTTCAGAGCCCTTGCGATCCCAGCAGCTGCAAATGCTATCCGCGCTTTTGCTGGGGCAGGTAAGGTCGGGGGTTAGGGGTCATTGTATGGGAATCGGTTGTGTCGCGTTGTGACCGTGGGACGTTAAGCTTCGCCTTATTATGTGCCGTATGGTTGTGTCCTTGTGTCTTCTTAATGCCGCACAGCTGTGTCCTGGTGTCTCTTTACCCTTACGCTGTGTCCTGACGTCTTCTTTACCGGTGCCGCAAGGGCAGCAGGGGCAGCAACAGCAGGGGCAGCGCGCGTCGCTACAACCACAGCAACGGGCGCAACAGCAATCGCATGCCTTCTCGTTCCCTGGCGGCCTGCTTGATGACTGTAGGGCTCCGCAGGGTCACTACTATACTGGAATATACGTCAATAGCGAAGATGGCATAGCCCGCTGCAACTACTACCAGCAACTCATGACAGTCACTGGCGCAGCGCAGCACGTCATGAAGTTTGACCATTGCCACAAGCCAGCCAAGAGCATTCGCATGCCGGACGCTACGAGCAAGGCTTGTATTGGGACCGCATGGGTCCTCAATGGCCATTCGGAGGCCTTAGCGTTTTATCATGTAAGCACATGAATGGGGGTTCCATGCACGTGGCAATGGGCGATGCCCTTATCTGTATCTTTCATTATGCGCAGGTATCCTCTACCTCCCTTTACGAACTGCGATACGAGCTGCGACAGCTGAGTCTTCGTTGCCTCAACTTGGGCCAGGTAGGATGGGTCTTGCTATCGTAGAAGATACATTCTCTCGTTGCTTATGAGCTGTGGGTGTTGCCGTGGCTAACACCATGCTTATACTGCAGGCCATCCGTGTTGTGTACGTCGACAACGCTGCTCAGACCCACCGAATCTGGTGCAAGCTCTTGCTCACGGATCTGCCGTCTGGGGAAGTTATGGTGAAGCAGGATACCTTCCACTTAAAGCGCCGCTTTACGGAGGCTCTCCCAAAGGCGCATCCTTACTATAGCACCTTTAACGCAGCCTTAAGCCAGGTCCTGCTTCCCATCTACGAGCCCGACAGGGAGCGCTTGCATGGTATTGACGCCCAGCTGCTAAGGCGGAAAGCGCGCAAGTTTATCCCACCAGGCAGCGGTGGTTTGGTGTTGCGCCGAGTAGGTGAGCTCATGGCAAGGTATAAGGCGCTGAAAGGCGGCGAGGAGTTCATTACTGCAGCGGTAGAGAAGGTGTGGCGCGATCAGCAAGCACTGGTGGCCGACGGGCTCGACATGATATCAGGTATGCGGGGGCCATCATTGCGTTGTTTCGTTCGTCAAACGTTTAGGAATGTCTGCGAATATCCGTCGTTTATTGCTTAATGTCCGTTTTGTATTCAGTGTCCTAAAACGTTTTGGATCCGCTACCTGCCATTGGCCACAGACCCTTTCTCCATCGACAAGATGTACTACGTGGACCCGAAAACCGGCCTGTTCCGTAGCATCAGAACCACCAGTCAAGTGGAGAACCTCAACCGCCGTTTCAATTCTCTTCTCCAAGGCAGCGTGCTCCCTGGGCTGGCCGACGCTCTCATCATGGACTTCGTCGGCCGCAACAACGTCGACCAGGCGTCTCGCGCCGGTGAAAGCCTTGGCCTGCCCTTAGCGATGTACGACTTACACCTCGTGAGCCGCATCAACGCATGCGTGCCACCTGGTGCGGTTAAGCCGTTCGAAAAATGGGCAGCGCTGCAGGACCGGGTTTCTGCCTCCGCTGTTGAGGACTTCGGGTTTAAGTGGCAGGAGCGCCAGATACGTGAAGCGCTTCTCGAGGTGGCAGCGGCGGAAGCTGCGGGTGCATCCGTTCAAGTAGTGGTGGACGAGGAGGATGACATTGAGTTGGACGGTGAGGCCTAACCGGGGAATGGGCGTTTGGGGTGTTGGGGCGTTGGAATGGGCTTGCTCTCTTGTCTTGTTTACTGGCCCAAGCCTGCTCACTTCTGTACTTTCCTTGTCAATGCCTGGCCGAACGCGTCTTATATCAATGAACGATCTCCATCCATTATGCCGGCTTGCAGGGCCGCCGCTGGTTCCCGAGGTGGGCGGAACCGGGGAAGAATGGGACGCCTTCTGGACTACTTGCGGCGCTGAGCCAGTGGTCGCTGGTGGCGACGGGGAAGTTGGCGCCGGAACAGCAGCTCGCGACCCCATCAGCTCGTGGGCCTCGCCGCCGCAACAGATGTATGGGCCACTGGGATCTGCCACGTTGATGCAGCAGCCGGATTCACGTCTTAACTTGCGTGAGCAGCATGCCTGGGGCCAGGAGGATGTGGCTCTGGACGTTGGTGTGTCAGGATTTGCCAGCCCTTTCTCATCTCCATCGAGGCCGTCTTCGCCGCAGCAGCAGCACCTCGGCGGGCGTCAGGCGTTCAGCAGCCAGGGCGGGCCAGGCGGGCGTCAGGCGTTCAGCAGCCAGGGCGGGGGAGGAGGCTCCATGTCCGCAGCCGGGGGCGGGCTGGCGGCGTCTGCAGCGTTGCCGCATGCGCTGCAGTCGCCGCAGCAGCAGCACCTCGGCGGGCGTCAGGCGTTCAGCAGCCAGGGCGGGGGAGGAGGCTCCATGTCCGCAGCCGGGGGCGGGCTGGCGGCGGCTGCAGCGGTGCCGCATGCGCTGCAATCGCCGCAGCAGCAGCACCTCGGCGGGCGTAAGGGCGGGGCAGGAGGTTCCATGTCCGGGCTGTCGGAAGTCCGAGTACCGGACGAGACCGAAATGGATTGGCAGCCCGAATCGCATAAGCACTCCCATACTAAAGGATCAAGCGGGCTGCACGTGCCGTCACTGGAACCAGTGGAGTTGTGGGCCGCTATCTGTGCCGCTGAGGATGCAGTTGCACCAGAAGTACCAGGATCTAAGGCGCTGCAGGCAGGGGAAGAAAAGGCATTGATATTCACTCGGCTCCTTCTCTCACTGGACATCGTTAAGGAGGGCAGTCCATGGCCCCCCCGAGCGAAGGTCGGTTATTCCCTGTCTATGCAGGCAAGGTGTGCCGGCGACATCATTGCCAAATTACGCTCTGACATCATCAACGGTCAAGTAATAAATGACACCAGCGAAGCAGTAAATGCCTCCGATGTTACGAATTTGCTGCGCAGTGTTCAGTGCCTACAGGGCATTCTACTTGCTCAGCATTGGCTCAAGGCATGGTCAGAGGCGACTTGGCCACCACTGGCCCGTCTTCAAGCTCTGCGCCAGCCTCTTCGTACACGTCGCCCCTCCATCTTTGACAATGCTACCTGTCAGCCTGTCGAGAGCCCTACAGAAAAGGCCCTGTTTGCAGCGCTTGCTGCTGTGCATAAGCGGAACTACAAAAGGTTTGCTGAAGACTGGAACGCGCGTCTTGCACAGGAGAAGGGCCTCTCTGCCCAAGGCGTCACCTTCAAAAAGCCTTGCCTACTGCAAGCTTTCGACGTCAAGCAGTCATGCGAGGTGCGGAACGGGCTTACCCACTATCACCTCCTCCTGCAGAAGGTGACTGGACGCAATTTGCAGTCTGAAGATAGCGCCGGTGTGCAGTCATCGTTGCCAACGCTGCAAGCACCTGCATTCTATACTCGAGTGCAGTCGCAGCCATCGACGCAGCACCTCGACGGGCGTCGGGCGTTCAGCAGCCAGGGCGGGGGAGGAGGTTCCATGTCCGCTGGCGGGAGTGGATCGACCAAGTCACGTCTTGGTGTTCTAGGTGGATGTAAGAAACGTGGGCCTAAGGTTGGACAGCGCACGGCACCCAAGACCTGCAACTTATGCAAGGAGCGAAACCTACCGTACGATCATGCTTGGAACAACCGCACGGCCTGCTTGTCTATATGCCGTGCCTGTACAACCACAACCAGCGGCCGGGTGGAGCTAACCATTGCTGGTTACTGCGCCAAGTGCAAGCGCACGTTTGATTACGGCAAACAGCACCAGTAGGGATACCGTACGTGTTGTGGCAGTACTGGGCCGGTGGTATCATTGCAAGGTTGTTTTGCATATAACTGTTAATCTGTACATAGGGTACATGGAAATGCGCATGCTTTTTGTTAGGGTTGGACTAGGTACATGGATAGCTGCTTACTTCTTTCAAACCCATGCTGGGTACATGGATAGCCGCTTACTTCTTTCAAACCCATGCTATAGTCTTCAATTTTTGTCTGCTATTGGATGTTGGCACGTGTGTCAGTTGAGCGAACAGATTGGAATAGTGCGTCTTCAACCTGGATGTGCATGTGTCCTGAAGGGTGCTTGCTTGCTGTCGGTGCATGCTGTCGGTGGTCAATTTCCTTGCCTGCCATTCCTGCTCCCTCTTGCATCGCGAATGGGTGTTGTATTGTCGAGATGACTGGGTTGTACACGCGTGCTACAAGGCTAGTTAGAATCGGGCGGGGGGTATGGGGCCGTTTAGGGAGTAGCATGCAGCAGTCGTAACACGTTATGAAGCATTGCGGCACCAGTTGTGAAGTGTTGTGTCACCATGTAAACGCTTCTTCTGGCGGTAACATGATTGTAGCTCAGACGTCCCAACAGAGGGGTGCTGTTGCTGCAGGAGTTGGTGTTACTTGGGGACATGGGAATGGCTATAGCTACAGGACGCCACCCTGCTTGCATGCATGCCCTATGTGGTACAAACGCAAACGTTCATGCCGGTTAGCGTACAGATACATGTTACAATGTTACAATGTTAGCAGAGTCTATAAGGTAGACTCTGCTTGGTAACACACAGGGAGGCACAGGGGTTAGCGTATGAGCTACACGTGCGTTGCAGTCGGTGAGATGTGTAACCGGGAGAGAGGTCATCGAAACAACTTGATTTGCTCCGCTTACGAACGCATGTTGCACTTTACAACTACTGGGCTTGAGTTGTTTACTCCTGGGAAAGCACTTGAAGCTCAGTGCCAATGTTTGACCATTGAGCCGACCATGGCCGTCAAACCGGTAGCCCTTTCAAATTCCTATGCTACCACCCTTGCCTTGGGTCATTTCAACCTCAGTAATGGTATTTTCAAGGCAGGTTCCAAATGCCCAAACCGCGACGATGGACCCCGAAAAGTATAAGGATTTGATTATTTTCGTTAGCTGAATCGCAAAAATCGCGCGGCCTCCGGCCGCGTTCTTTCTGAGACATGCCCATCCTATCGAAAATTTGCCGCAGCTGGAAGGCGTCGCAAAGCAGAGGCGTTCCGGAATGAAGGTTCTAGCTGGCCCGCCCTCCCGCAAGCCAACTGGGCGGGGCAGACTCCGCTTCACTTTTTCACCCTGGAGTCTTCCAACCTGCCCTGCCAACCAGCACCGCTCCTAGACTTGTGAAATGGTATCACCTTTAAGAAACTGATTAGGAATCCGTTTTTGCTATTACGTCCAACACATTAAGGCCGACCGTTAGGGTCTTTTAGCATGACTTACTGAAACCTGCTTACCTACCAAACTCATAGGTACAATCCTTATGCGTCCTGTATGTAGTTGAAAACCAAGCCATTGTCGTCCTCAAACGTCGAAATCGTTACACTCGTCGCCATGCTTGCATGCTATACCGAGTATCGTAGAAGCTAACGAGCTGCGCGTTGGACATATGCGAGCACATGGAACGGCAACAGTAAATGCTGGAGTCAACAGACACAGCAAACCCATGAAGCCTTACTTCCTGTCACCGTCCATCCAAGTGCGCGCTCACTTCACGTGCCACAACCATAGCACAGCCATCCTTTCCCCTTATACAGCCTGCCCCTGGCTTGTTCAACTGGCCTGCTATGCAACATTGGCACACCGCGACTGCGTATCCACACATTTATCCACACATTGTCCATGCACGCATCTCCCACATCCCCATCCCCATCTCCCACATCCCCCAATATCCCGAAGGGCATCTCGCTGAGGCAACTCGAAGGAGCGGAAGGCGAGCTCAGCATCAGCTAGCGCGTGTACGTTGACGGCGTCAATGTTCACTGCCCGGTTTTCTCGCCCTTCTGCATCGATAGGGCGGAGCCTGGCTTTGGGACCCCCCATATACCCTGCGTCGACGACACCGAGTTGCCCGGCGTACGTGCCTCGCAGGATCAACACGGCCTGGCGCCCCACGCTCGGTCCTGAGACAAGGCTGCGGCGCAGGTCGTGCCGACCGCCGATGGGGCAGACACGGAGCTTGCTTATCTTGATCAGCCGGCCGTCGTCGTAACGACCACCTTCATACGCAAGGGCCATACGTGACCCACCCGGGGAGCTGTGTAACAGCGTGGCTTCTCGGTTTTGGTGAGTGTTGAAGACGAGCTTGCCCGGTCGCAGCACAGGCGATTGCATACAGGGGAGAAGGGCGGGCGCCACGCCTCCTTCTGTCGCCTGTGCGTTTGATGGTTGCGCGTCCTGCTAGGGGTCACGCACGAACACACAGCAGAGCGGTTTGAGTTTGTTAGGGCCCGTCAAGGAAAGCAGTGGTGAGAACAAGGAAACATGATAATGGGCCCCTTTCATACGCTGCCTACTCCATTCCCAACTGCAGCTTGCCTCTAGGTACGCTCCAGGTGGCTGCATGTTAAGGAGACCAAGCGCTGCGCCACTGCCAATTGGTAACCCGGCGCCAGTGTTGCCTTCTCCGTCCGCGTCATCGCCTTCGGTCTGGTCTGCTTCTTCATCAACGCCGTCCAGTCCATTGGATTTATCTATATCCTCGTCTTCCGATGACCATGACAACAGGTCACCTTCGCTACTAAGAGGGCTGAGCTCCTCATCCGACTCTGTCATTGCCGAGGCGGGGTTCAGAAGCAAGAATCAACCTATTAAAGGTACCACCGATATGGGTAACAATGTGTCTAAAGGAATACAGCTTTACTTTAGCAAGGAAGGTAGGTTTTCAGTGGCATTGCATAAAGGCCCTAACGGTCTGGTCTTCTTGTTGGACGTGACGCAAGAAAAGTGTTCCTTGTGTGTTGTTAAAAAGGAATATCATTTCACAAGTCTAGGAGCGGTGCTGGTTGGCAGGGCAGGTTGGAAGACTCCAGGGTGGAAACGTGAAGCGGAGTCTGCCCCGCCCACTTGTCTTGCCTCCCTCCCTTCCCATGCAGTGTATATTTAACACATACGCCAGTGTTATATCGATATAAAAGTATATCGATATATATAATATCGATATCGACACCACAACGCCCAATCTCCTTCCGTTTGCGACAATCAACCACGTATCCTTCTTCTTCTTCTTCTGCCCAACCTAGCCCATTGTTTCAAATTTTCAACCAGGATGCCTGCTGAGGCTCCTGCCATCGGAATAGACCTGGGCACCACCTACAGGTGGGGTAGCTAGGTTGTGGTCATCAAGTTCGCGGGTGCTCTCATGTCGTTTTGCGATGATAACGTGCTATTGTCCAGCATCCTCTGCTGCTTTAGCCAGTTAGCTACATAGCTAGCTGCGTGACGTACTTGTCCTGTTAGCGCTCTTCTGGGCCCAGCGCGCCTCCTCATGTGCTTTCCTTTGCAAACTGTCGCAGCCAGCTGTCCGGTTCCTTTTTACGATCGCGTCGCGAGCGTTGTGCCGTACGTTTAGGTCGAACAGAGCCCGAAGCTTAAAGCTAATTAATGTGCTGAATGCCCCCTAAGCTCTTCGATGATTCCTTCCCTCCCTTCCCTGCTCCTGCCCGCCCCGCCCCGCTCCCCCGCCATCCCCAGCTGCGTGGCCGTGTGGCACCATGACCGGGTGCAGGTCATCGCCAACAGCCAGGGCAACCGCACCACCCCCTCCTGCGTCGCCTTCACACCCACGGAGCGGCTGATCGGCGATGCGGCCAAGAGCCAGGTGGCCATGAACCCGCACAACACCGTGTTTGGTGGGTTGGGGAGCAGAAGGAAGGAAGAGGGAGGGGGAAGGTTGGGAGGATGGGAGGTTGGGAGCGTATTGTAACCAATGTAGGATTGAAGTATAGTAAAGACCAATGTGGAGTGTGTGTGGGTGTCGGAAGGTGGTGGGTGTCGTGTTAGCGGGAAGAACCACATGGGGGGAGGCAAGGGGGTTCCGTGGGTTGGAGCACCAGAGCGGCTCCATCGGGAGGAGGAGGATCAGAGGGTGCATCCTCCTCCTCCTCCCTCCTCTTCTTCCATCCCTCCCCCCATTGCTTTCCCTAATAACCTTTGGTTTTCTGAAGTTTGACTAGTTTGACACGATCTTTGACACCCCCCCTCCACAGACGCCAAGCGGCTGATCGGCCGCAAGTTCAGCGACCCGGTGGTTCAGGAGGACATGAGCCACTGGCCCTTCAAGGTCGTCCAGGGGCCGGAGGATAAGGTGGGGGGGGGGGGGGGGGCGGGGGAGGAGCTTTGTGTGCTGACGGGGAATGCTAGGTCGGTGGTTGCTAGGTCGGCGGGTGCTAGGTCGGTGGGTTCTAGGTCGGTGGGTGCTAGGTCGGCGGGTGCTAGGTCGGTGGGTGCTAGGTCGGAGGGTGCTAGGTCGGTGGGTTCTAGGTCGGTGGGTGCTAGGTCGGAGGGTGCTAGGTCGGCGGGCGCTAGGTCGGTGGGTGCTAGGTCGGTGGGTGCTAGGTATGTACGGCAAGCGGTACCGCTTGCCGTACATACACTGCTTTGGCGTACTGACCCAGAAAGGTGAAGGCAAAGTGCTGGGCGGCGGACAGCCCGCCTACCTGCCCCCACAGCCCGCCTACCTGCCCCCACAGCCCGCCCACCTGCAATACGTCGTCCTTGGTGAAGGGCACGAAGTAAACCCCGGGCTGCAGCGACCTGCGGGAGGGAGCGGTGGGAGGGTGATGCGGGTTGGGATCTTTGTGCGGGGACCCGAGGGAAGGAAGAAGGGCGACCCATGGGTCACATATTGGTGTACTGGAGATGCAGCGATATCTTGGCACAGCGATACGAAACACGAACGTGTAGGGGAGCTCAGGGTTTGGGGCCCATGGGCGTGCTCACCTATAGTAGTACTCGATCCAGTGAGTAGTTTCCTGGAAGAGAGGAATGGAGGGGGAATTGGGGAAGAAGAGGGGAAAGCGGGGTCAGCAGGTTAAGTGGAATGAATCGGTGTTTGCAGGAAGTGGTTATATACCACGGAGGAGTAATTAGGAGGGCCGTACGGTTTCCTCGCATTTCTTGAAGCTCGTTATATTCTTAAAAAGGACACAAGGATGCAGCACAATGTCGCCTGTCGTAAAATGCCGTACATGCCGTACACCGCATTACCTTGAGTACGACACTGTTAGTTCCCATGAGCTTGCCCAGGCGGCAGGAGGCAGTGAACACGTCCGCGGAGATCGTGTACTTGTAGCGCGAGTGGTCGGGGATGGTCACGAAGTTGGCCTGGGCGGGTTACGTGGGTGGGCGGGGTTACATGGGTGGGCAGGTGGTTTACGCAGAGGTTACGTGGATGGGTTGTTCATACGGGTTACTGAGGTGGGTTGCCCACTCCGCTGCAGCTCTATAACCCACAGCCGCGTGCTGTTGGGCGCATCTGGGCCTGCAGGAGGGGGGGGGGGTGAAGGGGGGGTGGGGGTTGCATGGGGGAGGTGCATGGAAGGGGGGGTGCATTGGAGGGGAGGGTTGGGAAGTGCAACAAGGAAAGAAAAAGGTACCATGAACCGTACGTATGATATAGAATCTGTGCCAATGTCGTACCTGTAACGCAGCTCGCATGAGCGCCTTGTCGTACTTTTTCTCCCAGGGGTAGTTGACCAGGTTGCGGTACACGTGGTTGGAGAACGGCAGCAACACATCAGCCTCCTCGGATGTGTTTCTCGAGTAATCCCAGCTCTTGATGAGTGAGAAGAGGATAGGGTGGAAGGGAGGGAGCCGCACACTGCATGGCGGGCAGGGAGGTAAAATCAGGTCCTGGTTTAGGACATGCACCTCTGCCCCTTTCCATCCATCCCGCACAGCTTCACCGCTGCATCCATCGTGCCGCGACTGCGCCTTTCCTACTTCGTCTAACTGACAAAGTTCGCCCTTCCCTCCTCCAGCTACTCACTTCCATCCTCTTCTCCTGCCCCCTACCTCCTCCCCCCCTCCAGCCCCTCATCCAAGTGGAGTACAAGTACGAGACCAAGACCTTCGCCCCCGAGGAGATCAGCAGCATGGTGCTGGGCGCCATGAGGGACACGGCGCAGGTGGGGTGCTGCAGGTATAGCCGCGAGGGAGGGAGAGGGAGTGAATGGACCCATGGGTCGTTCCTCGACCCGGTAAGATAACGTGAACTTGCCTATGTTTACGTGCCGTACACGTAAAACACGCTACCCTGTTGTTGCAGCACTACACCCTTCACCCCTGTCTTGTCGGTTACAGGTATGCCAAAAGCCCCTTCCCATTCCCCCCTGCCCCTAGTTGCTGCTGCACATATCATTGCTGCTGCACCACCCCTCCTTCCCCCTTCCCCCCCTCCAGTCCTTCCTGGGTGCGGACCGGCGTGTGCGGCAGGCGGTCATCACGGTGCCCGCCTGCTTCAACGACTCGCAGCGGCAGGCCACCAAGGAGGCGGGAACCATTGCGGGACTGGAGGTGGGGGGGGCAGGGGGAGAAACGGGAAGGCAGCCTTCCTCCACTGCCCCGGCAGCCGGCTGGCCTGCTAGGAGTTCCCTTGGCTGCCTGCTGCCATGCCTGCCCGCATGCACCCCTTCCACACCCCACCTCGCTCTCCTGTATGGTATCCTCGGATGGTATACAGCGGCACGTGTTACTTGCCGCGCCCCCCCTCCTGCCCCCCTCCACCCAACCTCCCCTCCTCCCAACCTCGCCTCCCAACCTCCTCCCCTCCCCCCGTCCCTGCAGGTGCTGCGTATCATCAACGAGCCCACTGCGGCCGCCATTGCGTACGGCCTGGTAGGCGGGAGGGTATGGGGGTTGAGTTGGGGGTGGGCTTGTGGAGTGGAGCAGGAGGGGAGAGGGGGGGACTTCTCATCTAGATGGGGGCAACACCGAAGTGTCTTGAGATGGGGCTGGCGGGTAGGACCCTAGCTAGAAGCGGTGCGGTGGCACCGACGCCTGCTTACATCCTCCTTCGGTTGTGCCTACAAGCTACAACACCACCCTGCACCCTGCAACACTACCCGTGTGGCTGTCTTAGCTAACTGCTCTCTCCTACATGCTTCCCGCCTTGCTTCTCTCTGGGCGCTGGCTTGCTGAGGGTGACCCTTCTTTCTCCCCCTCTTGCTTGCCCCCTCCCGCCCCTCCCCACCCGCAGGACCAGAAGGCTGGTGAGCGGCACGTGCTGATCTTCGACCTGGGGGGCGGAACCTTCGACGTGAGTGCGGTTAGGGGGAGGGGGGGAAAGGGGGAGGGAGAGGGAGGGAGAGCGAGGAGGGATTAGGAGCGACCAGCGAGCGGAAAGGGTGGTGGCGGGGTAGGTGGGGTGAGGTGGGGATAAAGGAGTGGGCACCATGGACGTCAGCTGGGTAGGGGAAGACGCCTTTAGCTGCTCCCGCGGCAGGCTGAGTGGTGGGAAGTGGTAGAAAGCCGGGGTGAAGAGCGGTCCATGTGATGTATGGTTGGATGGATGGGGTTGGCTGGATGCAAGTGACTCGTGTTCGGTCAGCTCGGCATCCCGCCCCCCACCCACCCACCCACTTCTATCTGCTGCTCGCCCCTCTCCTCTCCTCCCTCTCCCACCCCCACCCTCTCGCCCTCACCCACACGGTTTCCCCACCTTGACCCCCCCCCAATCCCAGCAGCCCAGCGCCTCATGTCGTCCCCTTCTCCCCCACCCCTCCCCCACCCCCACCCCCACCCCCACCCCCACCCCCACCCCCAGGTGTCGCTGCTGGCTATCGACGAGGGCATCTTCGAGGTGAAGGCCACCAGGGGCGACACGCACCTGGGAGGGGAGGACTTCGACAACCGCTTGGTGGCGCACTTTGTGGCGGTGAGGGGGTGGGGGGGAGGGGGGGAGGGGGGGAAGCTAGGGGGAAGACGTGTGTGTTTTTGGGGGCGGGGGCGGGGAAGACAACTGGCGCATATCGTGACGGTGAAGGAAAGGGGGGTTACATGGTGGGGCAGGCGCTGCGCCCTGTGCTTATGTCAGCTTAACTACCCCCCTTAGCTGTACCAACCATAGCTGTCGACCGAGGAGCGCCGTGTGTTTGGGTGCGTGCCTGACTTAGTTACACACAGCAACCATCCACTCACCCGGCCCCCCGCACCCCCCCCCTGCCCACCTGCCTCCAGGAGTTCAAGCGCAAGCACGGCGGCAAGGACCCGAGCACCTGCCCCCGCGCCCTGCGCCGCCTGCGCACCGCCTGCGAGCGAGCCAAGCGGGTGCTGTCCTCCGCCACCCAGACCACAGTGGAGGTCGACAGGTGGGCGGGTGGGCGGGTGGGCGGGCGGGTGGAGGAGGAGGAGGAGGAGGGGAGAAGGAGGAGGAGAAGGAGGAGGAGGAGGAGGAGGAGGAGGAGCAATAAAGTGAAGGGTGGGGTGGCGATAGTGTGTACAGGCAGGGTGCTGTGAGACGGGGAGAGGGGGCCTCAACTCTGCCTTCGAGCCGACTATGCCGGCCACAGAGTGTTGTGACCCATGTCGCGTGTTGCGTGATGCTCACCTACGCCCCGACTGTGTGAGTAGCCCCAACCCCTCAGTCTCCCCTCGCTCACAACCCCCCCCACCACCACCCCTCTTTCTTTGCCCTAACCTGTGGTCTCCTATGGTTTGGTATGGCCTTTGACCCCCCCCCCCCTTCCCCATTCTTCCTGCCCACCAGTCTGTTCGAGGGCATCGACTTCATGGCCAGCCTCACTCGCGTCCGCCTGGAGGAACTGTGCATGGACCTCTTCCTCAAGTGCATGGAGCCGGTGGAGAAGGTGGGGGGGGGGTGGGGAGGGGACAAAATAGATGAACCCACAGGAAGCCACGCTGGGCGGGAGCGTGAGGGGAAGGGAGGGAGGTAAGACGAGTAAAAGACCATTGCCGGAGGGATTCTTTGGCAACGAGAACATGTGCATCTCTTTCCATTACATGCGGTCCGAAGCCGCTTCCGCCGTTTCCTTGAGGTCCCGTTTCCCAACCACCCTTGCCATGCACGACGTTTAGCATACGTGTAGGTAGCGCCGCAACAATACCAACAGCCCGGATACTCCGAACGCATCGACCCTCCCCCCCTCCAACTCCCAGCTCCCCCCTCCCCCCCTGCATCCCCAGGTTCTCCGCGACGCCCATCTGGACAAGGGGCAGGTGCACGATGTGGTGCTGGTGGGCGGCTCCACACGCATTCCCAAGGTGCAGCAGCTGCTGCAGGTGGGGGGGGGGCGGGGAGGGGAATACACAATGAGGAGAGGGAAGGGGATGTCCGTCCTTGGGTCAAAAGAAGCAAAATGAGCTGCAGCGTACGCATGGGCTTCACGTGGGGGGCTGTGTGCCGTACATGCAAGGGAGGGGGCGTGCAGGTAGGGCGCGACCTGGCCCTGCCCTTGTGCCCTACCTCGTGCCGCACGCGCGCTCACACAGGCACAGAGGCCAGATGTCCGCAGACATGCCACATGCCGACACCCCCCATCCACCCACCCCCCACCCCCACCCCACCAGGACTTCTTCCACGGCAAGGAGCTCTGCAAGTCCATCAACCCGGATGAGGCGGTGGCGTACGGAGCTGCCGTACAGGTGGGAGGAGGGGGGGCTGCCCTACAGATGAGAACGAAGCGGGGGGGGGGGCTGCCGTATATGTGAGAGCGAGGGAGGGGGCTGTCGTACAGGTGAAAGAGGGGGGTTGGGTATCAGCTTTTAAGACCCGCTGGTTCCCACCCAGCCACCTCCCCACTACTCCCCTCGCTCCCCTCTGCCTTCCCCCCCAGGCCGCCATCCTGACCGGCAGCGGCGGTGAGAAGTTGCAGGACCTGATATCGCTGGACGTGACTCCATTCAGTCTGGGCATTGAGACGGCGGGGGGGATCATGGTGAGGAGGGGGGAGTGGCGAGGGGATGGAATCGGGGGAGTCGTGGATGGGGAAAGGGGAAAGGAGAAAGGGGAAAGGAAGAGGATGGGATTGGAAGGGGGGGAGCGGCAGACCCTGTCTGCAAGGATTTGTTTCGGTGTCCTGCTCGCACCTAACCTAGCCGCCCTGACCTAGCCGCCCTACCTAGCCGCCCTAACCTAGCAGTGTCGGACCAACGTAGTTTCGGTCGGAGTAATTCACCACCTCCCCTCCTTCCCCTCCTCTCCCCCCTCCTCCCCCCCCCCAAACCCCCCTCTCCCAGACCACCCTCGTCAAGCGCAACACCTTCATCCCCACACGCACGGAAGAGACCTTCTCCACATACTCCGACAACCAGCCGGCAGTGCTCATCCAGGTGTGTGTGTGGGGGGGGGAGGAAGCGGAGGGGGGGAAGGGGGGGTTGGAAGGTGTGTTTTGGAGGGGAGGGCGGTTTCGGGAGTGAGGAGGAAGAAAGGGTTCTATCGTGACCCATGGGTCAGCGCTGTCGTGATAGGGCTGGGGGCATGTGGAGTTGGAAACAGGGCTTCTATGGACACACATGCTCATTTACCCCCTTTTAACGCGGAACCGGAACTTCCGACCGATGAGCAAGTGTATCAGGTAGCATTCCGTCTTTTACCCTGGCCACTCTCCATCCTGCTCATCTCCCCCACCTTCTCCCCCCCCCCCCCGCCCCCCCCCCCTTCGGGCTGGCTCACATGTTGCAACCCATGTTGACGCCTTATTCCTCAGTCAGCTAGCTGTTTCCTCTTTACCCCCCTCCTCAGGTGTACGAGGGCGAGCACGCTCGCACCCGCGACAACAACCTGCTGAGCAAGTTCGAGCTGAGAGGCATCCCGCCCGCACCCCGGGGTGTGTTCAAGTTCAAGGTGGGGGGAAGGAGGGAGGGGGAGGCGGGGAGGCAGGGAATGAAAGGGGTTGGAAGGGGGGTCCTGGGGAAACCAAGTCGATGGAGAAGGGATGGAAAGGGGCGCCCAAGTGTCCAGGTAGGTAGGTAGGTGCGCGGCAAGGACAAACTGGGGAAGTGGCATGTGGGGCGTAAAGGACGCAAGGCAAAGGGAATCGAAGGGGGGTGGGCGGTGCATGCTGGAAGGAGCTCCACGCTGTTCGGGTGCTAGGGGGAGCTACCGCTACCGCTACCGCCACCGCTGGGGCTCCTGGCCCACGAACCTGACCCACCCCGCACCCAACCACCCCTCCGTGCCGCTGCAGGTGCGTTTCGACATCGACGTCGATGGCACCCTGCGTGTGACGGCGCAGGACGAGGCCACAGGTGGGGGGGTGGGAGGGGTGGGGGGCGGGAGAGGAGTGTGGCGCGGGGGGTGGGTGGTGCGCGGGTGTGAGGTGCGGCGGGGCGTCCGGGCGGTGGAGTGGATGGGAGCGGATGGGTTGGAAAGGTGGCCGTTAGCAGTTGACACGTGCTGTTAGCAGTTGACACACGTGCCGTTAGCAGTTGACACACGGGCCGTTAGCAGTTGACACACGTGCCGTTAGTGCAGTTCTTTCTGGTGTGATGGGTTCCTGGTACCATCTCCCCTGCCCCCACCCCGCCCCGGGGTCCCCCCGCCAGCAGCAGCGCCAGTCGGCCCAGGTGTAGGGTCGGGAGCCGCTGCCGCTGTCGCGGCACCCGCCACCCCTCCGGTGCGGCTGCAGCTGATTCGCAGGCAGCTGTCGTGCCCCGCGGAGGAGCTGCTCGCGGCCGTACATGTTGCCCCCAAGCACTCTGCCCTGCCCATGCACACCACCACGGGAGCCGCTGCCGCTGCCGCCGCACCCGCTGCTGTCACGGCACCCGCCACGCCGCCAGGTCCCCGGACAGGGTCTGCGGCTGTTGTGGCGGCAGCAGCAGCCCCGTCTGCCGCCCCAAGCGGCGACGCAGCCGGTGCGATTCCTGCCCCAGCTGGGGCAGCTGGCCCTAGCTGGGATGCGGCACTAAGGAAGGCAGTGGCGGCCACCATCCGCCTGCAGATAGCGGCCCACGTCGGCGTGGGGACAGGGGAGGCGAGGACCATTGCCGATGCTGCAGCCGCCGGAGCAGCCTCCATGGTTGCTGTGCTGCTGCCAGTTAATGGCATGAACGGCGCAGGAGGCCGCAGCATGGGGGCGGGGCAGGCGGCGGAGGCGGGCGGGGGAGGTGACGGAGGCGGAATCCTGGGACGTCGAATGCGCGATGTAGGGGGCGAGTGTGGGGAGCACGATGAGGATGGTGGGCAGGTGGGGAAGCGGCAGCGCTGAGGTGGCAGATAGGGCAAGCACGGTGATAGGGTGGAACACAGCAAGCAACGGTCTGGGGGCTGCTGCTGACGGTGGGTGGCCGGGTAAATTGAGTTGCTTGTAGAAGTAGTTGAGGAGCTGTGAATGTGCGTGAAGTAGGGACATGAGAAGTGAGGTGGGGGAGGAGTGCCCGGATTGGCGTTCACTGGGGGCTTCATGGTCGTCCAGAGCAGCGCTTGGTTGGGTCGTCATGGTGTGCCGTACGGAGTAGGTTTGGCGGTCCCCTTGCTGGGGATAGATGACGGGCAGTGTAGTGTACGGAGTGGTTTGGCGGCCCGACTGAAGGGGTTCGGGGCGACCCGTTGACGGGTAGTGCAGTGCGGAGCAGGAGCAGGAGCAGGAGCCCGGCAGTGCGACTTTGGGTTGGGGTCGTGAGTGATGGGCGCAGCTTTGCATACCGGTACAGTGAAGCATGTTGTCCGGTAGTCCGGTAAATTGCTGCTGTAAATTACAACGCTAGCGCAACAGAGGCTATCTAACAGAGCAAGCAGGTTTGAACTGCTGTGCAAGCTGTCACTTCTACGCAAAGTTCGGGTCGCAAGGCCGCCTACGCCATCTCTAATGGCATGTAATCTAGTCCAGTAGTGTAAATTTAGCGGAATGCATTTCCGCTGAGTTGAACGCGTGATGCGAAGAAGCCAAGGAGTACGGAAATGAAATAAGCTCGCCGTACAAGCCTGGGTCAGCCGGCAAATTGGGGGGGCCCACTGGCCAACGCACGACACCAAGGTTGATATGCGACACCCAGGATCCGCACTCGCAGACTACTGAAGCTACACGTTGAATTTCCGAGCTATGTCGCAAAGCCTATCGCTCAAGGTGCCCTGTCTCCACGTCTCCGCCTTTTACGTTGCAGAAGTGCGTTTACCCACATAGGCAGTGCATAGACAGTGCTGTATAGTGCTATAGTGATTAGTGTTTAGTGATAGTGTTCCCATTCCAAACCGCCGGGTCTGACGCGTTGATCGGACCCCTCTTGGTCGAACGCCACGGACGGGCTGGAGACTTCTTCTCCTTCTCCTAATCACACAATCGAGACCATAGCCTGATCCGTGCGGGTGAGCGATGTGGCGATGAAACGAGTGCCCGAGCGCCCGAGCCCCCATTGCCGCCCGCAAACCCTACACACACACACACGCACAACGCTCGGCCAAACGCCGCAGGGCGATGGAAAACCCCCGAGTCGGGCTGCTGGCTACTGACCGCGACGGCAAGGTGTTCATCGTGACATGCCCGGATCTGGCGCTGCATTGCGTCGTGAGCGGCAACGGGCTCGGCGCGGAGCTAAGAACCGCGCCGCCGGGCCTTGACAACCTCAGGTTCACCGGGCTCCGCATCTACCCCGACCTCAGGTGCGTGTGGCAGCGTGTAGCAGAGTGTGGCAGCGTGGCGCGCCACCGAACCGAGCCCCTAACAACGCCATTGCTGACTGCTGCAGCGCCGACTACAACCCCCACCGCACCCTGCTTGATCTGCGGGTGTGCCACTTCTACCGCCTCTACGGTGGCCCCCCTCGTGTACAGAGGCGCTTCGCGGGCAATGTCTTCATGGAGTCGGGCGGGGGCGCCGTCGTCTGGAAGACGTACATCAACAGCAGTTGTGGTCTCCCGGATGCCGCGCCCGACGCGGACACGCTGCGTGGGGTGGTGCTTGTGCTAGACAACACCTTCTCGCAGGTGAGACCCACTTGTGTTGAAGGGGGGGGGAACGCGAGTGGGGCAGCTTTGAGATGCCGCGGCGTCCGCTAAGCACTGTGGCTGTGCACACCGCAGATCACCATCGCCGACATGAAGCGGCCGGCCTTCGAGACATTCGTGTTCGCGAGCATGTGGACGAAGAAGGTACGCGGGAGGGGAGCTTGGGGGCTATCAAGATGCGCAGCCCTATCAATTCGTTCTTGCGACGCCTTTGTTGACCTCCCCCCGCCTGAGATGCTGTCGTGTTTTGCAGGTTGCCTGTGTTGTACTCACTCGCTGACTTCACCGCCGTGTTGCCATTGTCGACTCCCTTTGCTACGTCACCGCCCGGTCCGCTTCCATCTTTCCACATGTTCTCACGACCACCCTAACAAGTCGGCGCCACTGTTATTATTCTGCATACCGCAGGTGAGTAGTTCTGCGGGCTGGTCAAGGCCATTGGTCGACTGCGGGAGCTTTGCTGCATCATGCCTACTGGCTTGCCGGCGGAGCGCGACCGGGCGGCGACCAAAGCTCAGCTGTTGGCCATAGCCCAGTAGACTTTTATGTAGTGTGACAACCTCAAGTGGTGCGAATGGGGCTCTGGGTTGGGATGGGTTGCATACTCCTTGCGTTGCGTGGGGCCGTGGGATGGCAAAGGGACCAAATGGAGCGGTCTGGTGTGCCGGTGCTTTCTCTGCCCCCCCCCCCCGGCGCTGCCGGGTCAGCCGCGTGCTTTTTCTACATTTTTTCTACACAGGCCGTCGGAGCCAATTCGCTGTTCTACACAGGCCGTCGGAGCCAATTCAGCAGCGAATTTTCCGGGGGTGTCAGTGCCAGTCAATGACTCGCCACACTTGTCGCCAACTTGTCACCAACTTGTACGTCTGCACCACACACCCCCCCCGCGCTTCCATCTGCGCGCAGCACCTATATGAGTCACTGCTCGACCGCAACCGCGCTGCTCGTGAGGCTGCTGCCAAGGCCGCGACCGTCGCTGCTGCCAAGGCTGCCAAGGCCGCACACCTCGCAGGCCTCGCGTCAGCAGCGTCGCTGGAGGCCGCGGCTGAATCGCCGGACTCTGCATCAGCAGCGGCGGATCGCGCTACCGCAGCGGCGACCGATGCGCGCGCGGTTGCCGCTGATGCGGCCGCTGACGCTGCTGCGGCCGCCCGCGCGATGGACGACATGCTGTGGGTTGCACCGAGCGGGGCACGTGCGGCAACGTCAGCGTCAGTGGCGGCGGCGGCGCATGCGAGAGGAGCTGCAGCAGCGGCGATGGCGCGCCGGGCGGCGGCGATGCGCCGGCTGGTGGCGCGTCGGGCGGTGGCGCGCCAGGCGGCAGCGGCAGCAGCAGCGCAAGGGCGGCAGCCTCAGCAGCGGCAGCAGCAGCCTCAGCAGCGGCGGTGGCACGCGTATGCTTGCTCTGGGCGCGGCGTGCATGCCCGGTGCTGACGGCTGGGGCCTGCTCTGACCCCGCCGCTGTACAACAGCAGGCGGTGGCGCAGCTGTCTGCCGCGGAGGCGGCTGCAAGGAGCGAGGACTGGGCGCGGGCAATGGATGCCGTGGAGGAGGTCCGGCAGCTGCTCGACAGCAGCTTGCTGGCACCGGAAGCTGCCGGCCTGGCAGCCGCTGCCGCGGTGTGCCGGACCTCAGCGGCCCTACGCACGGCAGCGACACAGACAGCTGAACTCGCTGCTATTGCGGAGGCGCACGCCGAGTGGCTGGAGTCACGGAGCACTGTGCCTGCGTGACACCGGGCCGAGCGCCGACCCGGACAACGCGGCCCATGCCGATGCGCTAACCCAGGCTGCGGCGCTCGCGCGGGCGGCCGGCGCCGAGGCGCGAGGCCGGGCGTCCGCTGCCAACCAGGCAGTAGCTAAGGTGGAGTCTGTCGAGGATAGCGCGCGGAGGGGAGCGGCGATGGCGGCGACAGAGGGTGCGCGGCTGCGGGAGGCATGGTTGGAAGCGCGCCGAGGTGACGATGGCTGGAACACACCAGACTCGCGCTCACGTGAGACGCAAGTTGTGGCCATTGCAGCCAATGTTCGCGCGTGCCTGGAGGACGCTGCTGCGCTGGCGGAGGACGCAGCGAAGGCTGCTGCGGCGGTAATGGCCGAGTTCGACCGGGAGTTGCCGCTGCCGGATATTAAACTCCTGGAACTTCAGCTGCTGCCGCCCAACGGGCAGGCGGCGTGGGTGACGGGGGTCAATGTCCGTGACTCTGTGCAGGACCCCGCCGCCGCTCGTGCATGGTACAAGGCCACCGTACCCGCAGAGACACAGCAGCACGCCAGCAAGCTGCTCTCGGCTCGCGATCTGCAGTTCTTGGAGGAGAGCTTTCCGCTGGTGGAGCTGATTATGTGGCTCGATGGAGCGCCCGTGTCCACAGCAGAGCGCGCGGCAAGGGATGCAATGCACGCCCGCCTGATGGACAAGGAAACGCGTGCCTACATCACGGAGCATGTGCACCTGGACAAGTTAGGGTTCTTGCCCATTTTTTCGGGTGGCCGTGCCAAAATCGCCATGCAACAGTACAACAGCTGGTGCGCTGACGCGCTCAAGGCGGCAGAGGCGGCGGCCGCGCAGCAGCGGGCGACGGCAGAGGTGGCGGCCGCGCAGCAGCGGGCGGCAGCGGCGAGGCCAACGTGTCAGCATTCCAGGCGCAACTCTGCGGGTGCCGGCGCACCTGCGCGCCCCCAGCCACGGCAGCCGGTGCGCACTGCTGCGGGTGCAACCCCCTCCCCTCACAACCGGCCGCCGGAGCCGGCAGTGAAGCGGCAGCGGCGCAATGCCGCCCGTGGCCCCGCGGAAGGCGTGCAAACGGAGTCGGACTGCGGACAGCGGACCGCGGAGGTAACCATTGACCCTGCAAGCGACAGTGAATGTAAGTGGGGCTAGGGGAAGAGGGAAGAGGAGTGAGGGCACCACCACCATCACTGCCTGTAACGTACATCACGCATGTTGTGCCCCCAACACTTGTACCTCGTGCCCTTGTGGTCGCTAATGCAGGACCCCCCCCCCCCCAACATGCAGGATGGGCCACGCACGACGTCGGCACACCCAGCTGTCAGCGGATGGGGGATGACAGAAAAGTGCAACAACACAGTCCCAATGGCGGCGGGGGGGTAGAGGAAGTGGGGTGTTCAGTGTGTGTCAGCTATCAGCTTCGTCAGATGATGTGTTCTGCGGGAATGTAGCAGGCGAGTTGTAGCAGGCCGTAGCAGCAGCAGGATGGGGTACCGGTAAGCAGTAGCCCGGGGGCTGGAGAAGGACATCTCGTGTCCGGTTGTGGCATGTGTAGGTGCTGCCGTACTGCTGCTGTACGTGTAGGTGCTAATTGAACGAGCTGCTATCGAACGCATTCGTTCCTTTGCGTGTGTTCGTTGTTGGCACAAGGCATGGCGGTAGGGCAGGAGGAAAGAACATGCGTGCCCAATACCGGTAGTAGGAGTGTGGCGGGGAGGAACGAAAGAGAAGAGCATGTGCCGTACTGCCGAATGGTCGTCAAGGAAGCTAGCTTTGGTGGTAAATAGCAAAAAATAGTTCTGATGCTTTGCACGGTTTTTAGCAGTTGGTAATAGTTGCTGCCGCCGTATTCATAAGGATTCTTGATTGCCGGCTTGCGTGGTGCAAGGTGCTGGAATGTTCTCCATATACGTCCTGGGTTCGTTACCCCCGTGCTCGCTTTTAGGGAACTACTGTAACGGTCACTCATTCAGCTTCGTACGCGGCCACGGACAAGCCATGACATTATGCGATGTGTATGGTGAGGCGGAAAGGGAACTGCTGCAGCTACTGCTGCTGCTGCTGTATACAGCCCAGCACTACCCGTCAGCTGCTGCTGCTGATAACGGTGATGAAATTGGCTATGGTGCTGTAGCTGATGATGACCCGCGGGTCAGCATGCACACCCACCCACCATGGCGGCGTCCAGGTCACCACTCCACCCCGCACCCTCGCCGTCTTTCACGTTTGTTACTTCAACTCGGCGGTCCTGCAGTGGCTGGCTAAAAATGTTAACAGATGTGCGTACGCGCCTACCCCCCAGAAGGACTCCCTCCCGGTTTGTGTTTACATGGTGCTCAGTGCAACAACAGCAACAAACAACAGCAACAGCAACAGCCCTCACCGGTGTGGCTGTGCGAAAAGTCTGTGGTGGTTGCTGGTTTGGCATGTACGGTCGCATACCGTATGTACGGTACCGTACAGGCAAAACCAGCATCGCAAAATCACCGGTAAAGGCCATTTGTTGCGCTGAACATTCTGGACTGCCCCCATCATCCCCCCCCCACGCCCACAACTCCCCGCAGCCAACTTCCACCGCTCTCCACGCACTCTCCCCATGCATGACGAGCTGGGCAACCCAACCGTACAAGCGTCTGCCGTACTCCCACGTCTTCCGTGCTTACACGTCCCTAGCTACACAACAGCAGGTCATCAGCAGGCCATCAGCACCTGCATGAAACCAACGTCATCAGCACACAACAGCATGCCATCCCGCATGAAACCGACCCCTCATCATCACCATCAACCAGCTAGCTAGCTAGCATCCAGCAACAACATCCGTACGCATCTTTTTCTATTCTCACATACAGCAGAAGGACGATACAGCAGGGGCACGGAAATGAACAAATCAAGCCAACCAGCGCCAAGTACCCCCAAGTAAGCCAACCAGCGCCAAGTACCCCCAAGTAAGCCAACCAGCGCCAACTACCCCCAAGTAAGCCAACCAGCGCCAACTACCCCCAAGTAAGCCAACCAGCGCCAATTACCAGCAACACTGACCGGTACCTCCAGGTGAGCCAACCAGCAACACCCATCACCTGCAGCTCAAGCAACATGTTGTACGGTGTGTATGTACGATGCCCCCCCCCCCCCTCCGCTCCCCCTCCCCCCCCCCTCCCCCCCCCCTCCGATCCCCCCCCTCCGCTCCCCTTTCGTGCTCCCCATGTATCCACCCCCCCTGCCGGCTCCCACCCCAGCGCCCCCCATGCAGGCTACATAACCGCTCTCTCACCCACTCTCACCGGCCCCTCCCCTCCTCCTCCCCTCATCCGCCTCCTTCCCTTCTCCCCTCCTCCTCCCCCTTCCCCCTCCCGCCCCCCGCCCCCCGCCCCCCGCTATCCAAACATGTTGTCCCAGTCGGGTCCACGGCCCGGGGGCGGCCGCCCGATGTCATTCAACCCCTCACTGCGGCCCAACCTGAGGAGCGAGCGAGCGGGGATGAGGGGGGGTCAGGTGGGGGCAGGCAGGCAGGCAGGGGGTAAAGAGAAAACAACTAACTGGCTAAGGGATAAGGCGTCAACCTGGGTTGCAACGTGGGGGGGGGCAGCAGGCGAACTCAGCAGCACTTCTTCTCCTCCACCCCGCCCAGCTCCCCGCCCTCCACCGCCTCCAACCCAACCTAGCTGCGTCCGTGCAATCCCGCCCCAGCCCTCCACCCCCACCTTCCCCCTCCTAGCAACCCTCCCGCCTGCCCCCACCCACCTTCCTTCCGCTGTGAAGTCGTCCGGCCCCCAGCCCTGCAGTCCCTCGGGGCTGATGGGATCCCACCGCATGCCCGGCACACCGCCCCCGCCCCCACCGCCGGAACCCAACCCGCCGCCGGGGCCACCGGGGGGCGGGTGACGCAGGCGGCCTGCGTGGGGGCGGGCGGGCGGGGCGGGGCAGGGCGGGGCGGGCGGGTTACCAACCTCATCAACCCCCATTATCATCATCATCATCAGCAGCAGCAGCAGCAGCAGCAACAGCAGCAACAGCAACATGAACCAAGCAATGGGATGGGAATAAGAAGAAGAAGGAAGGGAAGGGGGGGGTGCCATGACAACAGCGTGGCATACATGCATGCGACACATACCAACTGTACCGGTAAACCCCACCTAGCTAGCTAGCTAGCTAGCTAGCTAGCTAGCCGCTGTGTACGGCACGCAAGCAACTGCGCACCCACCTGCAGCTCTACAGCAGCAGTTCACCAGCTAGGCACCCGTCCACTAGCTAGCTAGGCACCCACCCCCCATCACCCCTGACCCCCCCCACCTGCAAAGATGGGGTTCTCCGGCCCTACGTGCATGCCGCCGCCCGCACCCCTCGGGCCGGGGAAGGCAGGGTGCGGCACCCCCATCATCCCCCCGCCCAGACCTCCGGGAAAGCCGCCACCACCGCCACCGCCTGCCATGTCGCCGGGAGCGAGGGGGCAGCAGTCGGTGCGATGCGGTGGGGTGAGGTGGAGGGGGGGGAGTGGTGAGGGGTGAGGTGGAGGGGGGGGGGAGTGTCATGAGGTGAGGGGGGCACCGGCCGCACAGCAACAGCCGGCATGTGCAGCCAACAACGGCAAGCAGCTCGCCACCACCCCTCCCAAGCCACCCCAGCCACGACACGACCCACGACACAACCCTCAATGACACGACCCTCAATAACACGACCCACGACCCCGACCCACCCGGCATCAGATCGCCGTCGCCAATGCCGCCCACAGGAAAGGGAACCGGCTGTGGACCCCACATGGGGGGTGGGGGTGACCCACGGGTCGGCAGCCGCAGCGGATCCTCCCGCCCCTGCTGCGGCCCGCTGCGACCCGCGGCTGCCCCGGTGGCAGTGGCAGTGGCAGTAGTGGCAGCGCCGCGAATGTTGTTGTTGTTGGTGTTGTTGCCTGTTTTGGCTCCACCCTGCCAGCGGGCCGTACAACATACACATACACACGGAGGAGGAGGAAGAAGAAATACGTTGAGGGCTCTGTAAAGCACGGCTGCCGTGCCGTACAGCAACAGCCCCTGCCCTCCACAGTGACCCCGCACCACCCTCTGTCATCACAAGATACCAGCAGGTCACCAACCGCACACATGCCCCTTCTACCTGCCTCCCCGCCACTGTGACCCCGCACCCCCCTGCCGGGACCTTCATCCCAGTCACAGCCCCCTCCCACCTGCAGCGTCCCCCGCACCCCCCCCCTCCTACCCTACCCCACCCCAGCTCCCTCCCCTCATCCCCTCATTCCCTCCCCTCACCACCGCACCCACCTGCACCCCCATCACCTCCCCCAGCGCCCCCTGCACCCGCCCGATCAGCTCTTCAAGGTGCTGGTAGCCACCGGCAGCGGGGGCGGCAGCAGCGGGGGCAGCAGCGGCGGGGTCAGGGGAGGCGGGCACGTACCTGCACATACACGCACACACACACACACACACAGCTCACAGCCGCGGGTCAATGGGTCGCTAGCACACACCACCCAGCCGAGTCTGGAAAGGGCACGGAGGGGACAGGAGCACTCGCCGGACCCCCCCGCCGTCGCCCTCCCACCCATCCTTCCCCCCCACCGGGATGAGCTGGCTACCATGTTTACCCCCCGTGTTTGCACCCCATGTTGCAAACACGGGGGGTCAAAGACCATAACAAACCACAGGAGACCACAAGTTAGGGCAAAGCAATGGGGATAGGAGTTGTCACGGGGGGGGGGGGAACATGGTAGCCGGGGGCCGGGGATAAGAAGGAGTAAACTGACGAGGAAACCCCGCCCCCCAACCCTACCCCCCAACCCCACTCCACTCCTCCCGCCCCCCACCTGTCCAGCGGCAGCTCCAAGGTCACTGGCGGCCCGCTGCTGCTGCTGGGGGCGGTGGGGGAGGCGGAGGAGGCTGAGGCTGAGGAGGTGGAGGTGGAGGAGGCTGAGTTGTCTGCAGCCAGCAGACTTACCAGCAGCACCTCTCCGCCTGCGGCTGCTGCTGCTGCTGCTGGGGTTGCCGTACCTACATCAGCCGTGGCTCCGATACCGCTTTCCAGACGCAGGCACTTGAGCAACAACAGCGGCGGCGGTGGCGGCACCTGTTGCTGCTGCTGCTGCTGTACTTGGGGTGGCAGGGTGGCAGGCTCGGGCGTGTAGAGGAAGGAGTAGGGGTCGCCGTCTTGTTGCCCCTGCGGGTTCCAGCCGGCGAGGTCGGCCTCCTCGGAGGGAAGCGAGGCAGCGCCTCTCGCAGCTGTCGGGAATAAGTAAAGTAAGGTAGTTTAAAAATAGTATAGGGTTGGTCTAGTGGGTTCTTGGTTACCTAAGCTGACCTATGTTAAAAAGGGTAGCAGCTCAGTGCATGCGATGGGCCCTATTAGGCTTGGGGTAGGTGCTTACCCGCCTCGTCGACACCCTCCCCGACCTTGCGAAGGCTGAACCCGTTGACAGAGATGATAGCATGTACTGCGAAGACCAACTTGTCGGCTCTGGACCTGCGACATGCATCACATGGGTAAATAACCGTTGCCAACATGCAAACGCGACCTATCGGTGCAGCGACATATCGTCAGCAATCGTACTTGAAGTCTGGTCGCGCTGCCCTGATCACGGCGGTGACGGCCTGAGGCGTGGCCATGGCGTCAACCGACCAGATCCTTGGGGTCGCCGGTCCCTTGGTTGCTCTTAATAATAAGCAATAAGACAGTCGACCGTTCCCAGTTGACAGAGTGCTGTCGCAGATGTGATTTTCACGATGACGTGAAGCGTAAGCTGCGCGAGTCTCACGACAAACCCTTGTAAAAGGCCTATTAATTTGCACTAACATTCAGGGACATGATTCGTCCTATATCGGCTATATGTATAACGCATCCTACGCGTGAACGCGAACCAAGCGATGGCAGTTGGGCATTGTGGTAGTTTTGGAGTTGCCGTGCCAACAACCTTCTGAGGACAGCCTGCACAGCCAAGCCAGCAGGCGTAAGGCTCTTGTTTAGCGTAGCATATCTTGGCGGCTCTTCGTACTGTGACTGCGGTAGCTTCAGTCCGCTTCAACGTTGTCGGTCGCTCGGATAGTTCTAGGAAGTCCAGAACCTAGCCTTGTGCAAGCGGTTTGTTTGTGTAACAGCATGATCACTTGCGACTTAAGTTCTAGATAGCACATTCTTGTAAGTAGGCGTTGGTCGTCTCGTTTACGCGCTTGGTTTGCGGGCTTCCGCAGCGAAAGAACGGGCAGCCATGATCAAATTCATGCTTATGGTCAATAAGCAAGGTCAAACACGTCTTGCAAAGTACTTTGCTGAATTCCTCACGACCGATGAGCGGAGAGCCCTCGAGGGCGAAGTGGTCCGCAAATGCCTTTCACGAACGGACAAACAGGTGAAACCTCTGCGATGCTAACAACACGAGAGGAGCGTGGTAACTTTACTGCTTCTCCGGTAGGGATGCACCACCCGTGGAGCATCCCTTGGACATCCCTCCCCAACAAACCATACCCATTGTTACCCCCACAAAACAACCGCTCTGCCGTAACCCCTGCCGTTCCCGCATACCTGCGCCCCCCCTCGTCATCCAGTTTGCCACTTTTCGCCCCCTCCCCCGGCCCCCCTTTCCCGCCCCCTCAGTGTTCCTTCTACGAGCACCGGCAGTACAAGGTGGTGTACCGGCGCTACGCCTCGCTGTTCTTCATGATTGGGGTGGATGATGATGAGGTGGGGGGGAAGGGGGGAGAGGGAAGGGGAGGGAGGGATGGAGGGGGCTCCCCATGGGTGGGTGTGTGGGTGGGAGGGGGCCGCAGCGGGGGTGGATGCGCAGAGAGGAGGCAGGGAGGGACGCCGTCTGTCCGCGTATGCACGCACTCACGCAATCATGCTGCGGCTGCTGCTTGTCCGCCTCATGCGTGCTGACACGCGGGCTGTCACGCGAGGGCGCCCGGGGGTGGGGGGAGGGAGAGCTGCGCTCTCGTGCGGTCATGCAGGCGGGCTTGCGTGCATGGGTGAAGGAGGGGGGAGCGTGATGGGGCTGGGCTGGGCTGTTCCGGCCCTGTGCGGCCCTGTGTACCCCGGGTGGCTGCTGCACCGCCCTGCCTGCCCCCCCTACCGGTGGGCGCTATCACCCGCCCCTCTCGCCCTCCTGCATTCGCTTCACTCCTCTCGCCTCACCTCCGCCTCACCTCGTCATTCCTCCCGCCCCCCACCCCCCAGAACGAGTTGGCCATCCTGGAGTTCATCCACTGCTTCGTGGAGGTGCTGGACAAGCACTTTGGGCAGGTGCGGGGCGTAAGAGGGAACAACTAACTGACCGTGTCAGAAGGCATCATAGGCTGCATACCCCCTCCCTACCCTACCCAGCCACGCACACGCGTGCCCAGATCCCCACCCCGTCCGCTGCCATGCGGACCCCCCGCTCCCACATACACATTAACCCGCCTCCCCCGCTTCACCTCCTCCTTCCCCCCCGCCAGGTGTGTGAGCTGGACATCATGAACGAGCCGGAGATGGTGAGGGGGGCGGGGGAGAGGGGGAAGGAGGGAGGGAGGGGGGGAGGGTCTAAAGGGTTAGGCAGCCGGGGGTTAAAGAGGAAACCGGGGGTGGCCCTGGTGGGGGGTGGGGTGAGCCGGCAGTGGGACGGAGCGGGGAGGGAGAGGTGGCGGGCGGAGGGCGGGTGCGGCTGGGTTCACCGGAGGGAGGGAGGGGGGGAGGAGGCTGCGGAAGGGGCCCAGCACACACCCCCACAGGGGGCTCGCAGACCACTTAGCTGCTCGTGTCGAATACCCCATACACACACACGCATCCCCCCCCGCCCCCCCCCCCCAGGTGCACTACATCCTTGACGAGATGCTGCTGGGCGGCTGCGTGGTGGACACCAACAAGGCCAACGTGCTGGAGCCGGTGCAGCTGCTGGAGGGGGCGGCGGGGGGGGCGGGAGGGCAGTGAGGGGGGAGAGGGGTGCGGGAGGGGCACAGGAGGAGGCGGAGCGGGGGGAGGAGGCGCGCAGGGTGGTTGAAAAGAGAACAGAAGGAGCTAGAAGGGTTTGGGGGGGAGAAATGAGATGTGAAGCACGGTCTCGTGTCCCGACTCGTGCAGCGCGCGCGTTATTGTGGCAGACGCGTAAGGGCAGGGGGTGGGGGAGCGCGAGGGGAAGTGGCACAGGACGCATGCGCGCATGTGGGTTCGAGTCTTGGAAAAGAGGAGTTGGGAGGAAGAGAGCTGTTGAGGTTAGGAGTTGGGGTGTACTTGACCCTGGTACGTGCCTTTGATGTAGAGCTTTTGACAACGTTGAAAGGACCGGTCTGGTGGAAATTTGGGTTCCGTTGTTTGGTATGCAGCGGTGTGCTTGCTCGTGAAGGGGAAGGCGGGGCGTAGCGGTTGCGTAGACTAGGCACGTGTGTAGGTGTCAACCGGTTTGAACTGTGCGCCTCAAGAGACGTGGTGAAGGGGCAACGTGCTAAGAATGGTGAAGGCTGGACGGTTTAGAGCTTTACGTCTAGATGCAGCAGCTTTAAGGATAAGCCATGTATGTATACTTCAGTCACAAAGCAAAATAGTTTTCTTAGCATCGGCGGAGCACGTTAACCGCCCCACGTCCCCAGGTTTGGCCCAGTATGGCCCGGTATAATAGGCGGCAAGATATATGCAAACGACGTTTTGATACGCAAATGCGCTGTGTTTGTAGGCCTATCCTCCTACCGTCTACCTCCTTGGCTAGCTAGCAGCAGTCTTGCCACCCAAGGGCTGTGTTCGTTTCAGTCCTGGCCAAGATTTGAAGGATAGAAGTGCAATTAATTCTATAGTAGCAGGTCTGCATCCTTCAAGCAAACGTGGGTCGCGATACTTGCTACTGCGATGAGGGTAAGTGTGTGTAGGAACCTAGCAGCACGTCTGCGTAAGTAGCCATTAAGTAAAATGGCCTTCTATTTCATTTCTGGGGTTGTGGGCTTATAGCTACCGTGGTGCAAATTCTGGGCAGCTGAGCAGTACGGGAACCATTCGGAACAGTTGAAGTCCAGGCCATGTGCAAAGCCAGCTTCAGACCTTGCTTATATGCATTTTGCTATAACTACAGGACCTGAAGCATATGCTAAACATACAGTTGTTCATTGTGCACCCCTCCAGCCCGACGGCTGATAGCTATCTGCTTTCGCGTTATCTACCCTGAACTAGGACAGGCTGTGGTGGATTTCACAACGGACTTTATGGCTGTGAGTTTTAGTTCTAGTAGATTGTAAAGTAGAACTGCGGAGCAAGATACCTACCTCCAGCGACAGTGCTTTGCTGGGAACCCGCCCGGAGCTTTGATTGCAAGCCAGGTGTGTGCTTCTTCACTGATTCCGGCATCCTCCCTATTGGTTAATGCGATGTTGAGGACAAGGTAGCGATGTGGTGTTTGTCACGGCCGTTGCAAAAGAAGGATTTAAGGTAGCTTTGCAACAAGCATTAATGTAGCTTACTGCTTCAGTGCCTGAATGCATTTATGCCACCCTCTGCGCACTCCGTTCTGGTCAATGGGCAGGACGGGGTAGGCGCGGTTGACGATGAGTGAACTTTGGCTGCATATAGTATTGGAACCTACGATCAATTTTGTGGAACGATCCTTCTATCTGATGACTTTATTTTATTACTTATGAGCTCCAGCTGGGAGTTGGGTCGGTCGCAGACCGACCCACTTGAGTAGCGCGTGCTTAGGCCCTTTGCTGGCTAGAAGCAAAAATGTTCGGCCTTAATGTCAGTTAACGCACTTGCCCTCGCCACGCCAATTTGGCTGCAGCTGGCGTATCTCGGCGCCATGGAGCTGGACCCCTCTACACAGGCCACGCCTTACCTAGAAGGCGGAGCTCGCCTTAGCAGCTTGCTTGTTGAGATCATTCTCCACATTCTGGAGCATACGCCACATGCCAGCTTCTTTCGTTCATCGGTTTCATGCGCCTTGGTCACCGATTACCGGGACTTTGTACCTGAAGCTCAGGAAATGCACTTGGGGAACATACTGGAACGGGCTCAATCTCAGCTCTACGTCTCCATCGCTGCGTTTCGCGAGGATTTGCAGCGCATTCGGCACAACGCCATCGCTTATAATGGCCCAAATGGTGGCAAGCATGGATACGAGCCTGTCATCTACTGGGCTAACGACCTCATCGCGGCTGCGGAACAGCAGCTGCAGCTAAGGATGCCTGCGCTGATCTCCGCTGAGGAGCAGCAACAGGTTGATCTCCAACATGTAAGTCCTTAACCGCATCCCGATGTATGATGTGGGTCGCGGGGGTCGAGGGGGTTGAGGAGCCAAGGGGAGGCGAACCCATACCGTTGAACCTTTCTACCATACCTTAGTGCTTTGCTCGTCTCGGCAGGTCTAGGCCACAAGCATCTACTGCGGTACGCCTCACATGCAACCCCCACCTCTTATCCCACCCGGCCGTGACCTCCTGGCCATTCACCGCTACTACCGGTACTTACGTTTCCCTGTTCCCTTCTCCGAACCCAACCGCATGCACCCCCTCTTCAACCGGACCTCAAACCCCAACCCCCCTCCCCCACCCCACCTCACTCCCGACGCCAGTCGGACGCAACAGTCACCGTGGCCATCAGCCCCACCGCCGCATGGCTCGCCAACACCGCCGCCGCACCGCGACATGGCACCAGCAACGGCGCCAAGACCGCAGCATCCGGCCACCCGCACGATGGCAACCTCGCGAAGCCCCTCCCTGCTGCTGTCCCATCGTCTCCATGCGGCGACAATCAGCAGCAGACATTCATTCAGCCCCATCACCTGCAGCCGCCGCAGCACCTGCAGCCCCACCAAAGTGCCAACGGAGGAGCAGCAGTGGCCGACCCAGCCGCAGCGGCACCCGCTTGCGGACTCCTCTCCTCCTCACAGCTGCAGCAGCCATGCAGCCAGGCAACCCAGGAGGAGGAGGGGTCAAGATGCCAGCAGGGGGGACAGCAGCAGCAGCAGCTGCTGGCGAGTCCCTCTCGTAGCAGCGGCAGCGGAGGGGCAGGCGGTGCTGCGGCCTTTAGGAGCGGCAGTGGAGGTGGTGGCGGCGGCAGTCGAACCACCACCCTGCATTCGGGCCTGGACGCCTTGCTGGCAGCATGTGAACTAGTAGCGGAGCAGGAGAGTGCCGCAGCCGCTGCTGCAGCTGAGAGCGCTGCTGCGGCCGCTGCCGCTGCCGATGGCGGTGATGCCATGCAGGGAGCAGCAGTCGCAGCAGCGTGTTGTACGGAGTACGGCGAGTACGGAAGGGGTTGTGCGGCAGGTGCAGGTGCCTCTGGGGTGTTGGGGCCGGCTCCCTTATCGCCTCAGCGGACCTCATACCCCGGGGGCTGCACCTCCTCCTCACCACTGGCGCTGCAACGGTCGCATTCGCAACAGCAGCAGCAGCTGCAGTTGGCGCTGGTGCCTTTGCGGGGCCTGGCTGGCTCGCAGCAGCAGCAGCAGCCTCAGTTGCTGCTGCAGCCGCTGCAACACCCGCCGCCGATGCCTCTGTCGCAACACAACCTGCACCCACACCCGCACCAACCGCAGCAGCAGCAGCACGGGAGTGTAGGCGGGGGGTGCTCCCTGGACGAGACGGCGGCGTCCTCGGAGGATGGCTGCATGGCCGTTTGCAGCGGCCGCAGCAATGGCGGTGACGTGGGTGGACCCACGGGTCGCTCGGGTGGCGGCGCCTCCCAGCAGACCTGCAGCTCCTACCTGGCCTCCAACGCCTTCAAGAACCGCCGGCACAAGAGCAAGGTAGGGTACTGTTGTGTGTGCGGCATGCATGGCTCATCGCGTAGTGGCTCCCGCTCCCCTCCTCCCTCCCACCTCTGCTTACATCCTTCCTCTTTACCCCATGCCCCCCCTTCCCCCCCCAGGTGTACATCAAGCCCAACAAGGTGGTGTACCTTCCCACCACCTTTGTGGAGGAGGAGTTCGAGGTGGCCTGCCTGCCGCTGGACTGCTGCCTGCTGGTGGAGGCGGACGGGGCGGACACGGAGGAGGTGTTCAGGGTGAGGGGGGCGGGAGCGGGTATGGGTGGAGGCTCTGTGAGATCTCTCCCGTACCTCCTCGTCTCCTCCTCCACGCATACTCCGTTACCTTAACACGCACCCCGCTCCCCCCCCTCCCCAGGTGACCATCAAGGCCGTCCCCCGCGCGGGTCTGTCAACCATGTACTGCATGACAAACGTGATGCGCTTCCAGCAGCGCTACCTGCACTGGCAGATCGCCAACTGGACGAGGCTGGAGGACGGCAACATACGCATCCACCTGCACTCGCCAGCGGCGGCAGCAGCAGGGGCAGTGGCGGGCCAGGGGGGCGGCAGCAGCGGCCAGCAGCAGCACCGGCAGGACATGAGCCGGGAAGCCAGCCTGACAGAGGTGAGCTGCGGCGGCAGGGGGGGCGGGGGTGCTGCGGCAGGGGGTCCAGGATCCCAGGGCAGGGGGGGGGCGGGGCGGGCGCGGTGCTACACGCGAGTCGGAACGCGCTGTGATTGTAGGAAGTTGTGTGCACGCTAACGGGTGTGATTGCATGTGTGCAGGTGCAGGTGGGCTCGCGCGGCGCGGCTCCCTGCACCAGCGACGACAGCTACCAGCCCGGAGGCAGGGGGGAACATAGCGGCCTGCAGCCGGGGGCAGGGGCGGGACGGTACGGCGGGGGCGGCGGCAGTGGTGGCGGCGGCAGCGGCGGGGGGTCGTTGAAGCGCCGGAGCGACACTGGCGCTGTGGGTCGTGCAGGAGGCGGGTACCCGGGCGGCGGGGGGGCGGAGCGGCGGCTGGGGCCAGAGCTGGGCGGCAGGTGGGTTGCGTGAGCGGTGCTCGGGGTTGAGGGCTGTGCTGCTGCCGGGGCTGGACCCCCCGCTCCAGGAGTTGCGATGCTTTGCACTCGCTCGCGGCTCAGTTATTAGCGGTAACATCCCCCACTCCGCACCCCCGCCCCCGCAGGGAGGTGTTCCCGCCCGAGCTCCGCATGTCCTCCACCGGCTACCCCCTGCACCTGCAGCACCTCGCCCACCACCACCGCCACCACCACCTCCACCTCCCCCCCCACCACCAGCAGCAGTACCCGCCCAGCAGCCCGTCCGCAGCGGCAGCCGCGGCGCCCGAGAGCCCGCCCGTCAGCCCGCAGCGCCGCACCTCCCACTCGGCCCCCCCCTGCCACCCCGGCCCTCCCCTGCCGCCGCCGCCCCGTGCACCCCCGCACCTGCAGCAGTACCCGCCGGGTTGCCAGCCGCTGCTGCTGCCGCCGGGGCTGGGCATGCTGCCAGGTCTGATGCTGGGCCCAACCGCTGAAGCAGCGCCCCACATGCAGCAGCTGCTGTCGGCGGTGCTGCAGCAGCAGCAGCACCCGGGGCTGGTGCTGCCGGCGGGGCTGTTCCCCATGCAGCTGCTGCCTTCGGCCGCCGCACTAGCAGCAGCGCCGGGAATGGCAGATGGGTTGAAACAGGAGCTGGGAGGGGGTAGTGGTGGAGATGGAGGCGGAGGTGGGGGGGCGCTGGGAATGGGAATGGGCATGCTGCCGTTCTCATCCCTCCTTGCGCCGCCTCCTGCATCGCTGCTGGGCAATGGAGGTGCAGCAGCATGCGCAGGCCCGGTGGCGGGGGCTGCAAGCGACTCGCTGGCACTCGGCTTGCAGCACCAGCAGCAGTTGATGTCTTCACTGCCACCGCTGCCGCTGACCTCCCTGCCCATGTCGCATGTGCAATCCCTGGAGCAACAGCTGCAGCAGCTGCATGACTTGTCCCAACAGCTGCAGCAGGCGTCAGGAGCAGCAGGAGGGGGAGATGGCGGGCAGGGTTCGCAGCAGCAAGCAGCAGAAGCGGGAGGAGGAGGAGGAGGAGAGCTGCAGGGCCTTGCGACGTTGCAGTTGGCCGCGATGCACCAGCTGCAGCAACAGCAGGCGGCGCAGCAGCAGCAGCAGGAGGCGCGAGAGGCGCAGCAACGTGTGGAAGACCAGCAGCAGCAGCAGCACCCGCAGCGAAAGAGGAAGCACCAGCTGCAGTTGCAGCCCCTTCAATCGCACCATCAAAGGCCGCCGCTACCACCACCACCGCCGTCGCAGCAGCAACAACAACAGCAGCAGCAACAGGAGCAGCAGCAGCAGTACCTGCTACCTGCCATACATCCCAACGGCGACCAAGCCAACGGGCCAAACAACGCCAATAACGCCAGCAACGGCAACCATGACGGCTCAACCAGCTTCCCTCTGAACAGCCTGCCGGGCATGCCTGCGCCCCGCGGCACCGGCACCGGCACCACCGCAGCGGGGCTCTTCCTGCAGCCCCTGCGCCTGCAGCCCCTCTCAGCGCCCTCGTCCGCTGATGCGCCTCCGTCCCTCTGCCTGCCTCACTCCTCCTCCCTTCCCGCCGTCCTCCAAACCAGCGAGGAAGGGGGGCTCCAGCCCCAGCACCTCAACCCGCAGTTGGAGCTGCTTCGTGCCAGCTCCTGCTACGCACGCCTGTGTGAGGAGGGTGGAGGCGGGGGTGGAGGCAGCAGCGGTGCAGCGGGCGGTGGCGATGGGGGCAGCGGGGGAGTGAGGGGCAGGATGGGTCCGAGCCAGTTGCAGCACGGTGGCATGATGGCTGACCCGATGCGGATGTCGGACTTTGGCCCGCTGGTGTTTGACATTGGCAGCGGTGGCGGGTCGGGGCATGCGGCTGGGAAGGGGGGCGGCGGCGGCGGCAGTCGGCGAGCAGCAGGAAACGCAAGCAACACATCAGCGGCAGCCGCGGCAGCAGCAGCAGCCGCGACCTCGGAACTGGGTCTCCGTGCCTGCACGGCTGAAGAGCTGAAGAGCCTGCTGTCACCCAGCAAGCGTTGCAAGGTGGCAGGGGGCTGCGGAAACGGCAGTAGCAGCTGCAATGCACAGCAGCTGCAGGTGGCTACATTAGCAGCAGCAGCAGTCCACAGTGAGGGGGGCGTCAGCAGCAGCGGTGGAGGCGCCCTGCCTTGTGCGGCGGCGGCGGCAGCAGCAGCGGGTGGCGGTTGCATGCCGGATATGCCGGCAGAGCGTATCGGACCCATGGGTCTGCGGTTGAGTCCGCTGATGCCTGAGGCGGCTGGGGCGGCCCTGTTGGCCTTGTGCGCGGGAGCGGGCCTGCAAGCGCCCGGTGCGTTTGCATTCCCGACGTCTCTGCAACCTCTGGCAGCAGCAGCGGCTGCGGATCCGAGTTCGGTGGGCGCGCGGCCGTTCCTTCAACAGCCAACTGTGTTTCCCGAACTGTTGGGTCGTCTGGTGTGAGGGCCGGCATCGCTGACCCATGGGTCACCATGACCAGGAGGTTGTTATTGCCGTTGCCGAGCTGGGCAAAGATGCCCCAGCTGCCAAGGTTCTAGTCTTGCTTACGTGATGCGGGTCGGAGAGTTGACACGCACTTCCGAGCATCAGCGGTGGGCGCGCATGAGCGGCTGCGGGGTATGGGTGTCCTCCCTGCTGTCGTGGTTAGCTGCGTGGGGGGCACGGATGCAGGGGGGACGTTAGCTCCTCCCTGCTGCAGTGTTGCTGCGGGTGGTGGAGGTGCTCTGGCGGGTTGCAGAGGTGCGCGCTGACGACACGGGTTCAGGGTTGCAGCGGGAGGTGTTGCGGCGCTGGAGGGCGGGCAGAAGGTCACACGTGTTGTTTGCAGCCGGAGCCCCGGAGGAAGCGGAGGTCATGGCGAGGGGTGCACCGGTACCGCTTTGACGCCGTTCGGGGCTTCTCCTCTCCTCTGGGGGCTTTGGTCTCTTTCTCATTCTTGGAATACGTTCGGTATCTTCTTCTTTGTGGTCAGATGGGTGTGCATTGCTGTGGCGCGAGGTGCATGCGTTGAGTTGATGTAGAACTTTAATACACGTAATTTGAAAACTCGGTTGACAAAAATGCAAGGGCGGCGCTTCTTTGTTGTGTGCAAGGACGCCGTTTGTTACACATGCCTTCGTTGTGGGTTAGCTGGTGCTGTTGTTGTCACGGGGATATGGCGTTCACTTGACCATCCTAGTCTTTTGACCGTTGTAGAGTTGTTGAGGGTAACCCTGCGTGCCCCACCATTGCATGCGTGTGTGGCATGCAGGCGAGGTACATGCATGGCGCATTGTGTATGAATAACAGTTGCTGGGAGAGAGATACGGAGCGTGTGTTGACGTATACCCCGGCATATCACGCCGCGCCGTTGCGTCACCTCTGCCTTCAGAGGACTCCTTCACCTGCTGCGGGACACTTGTTGGGAGGAGGAGGGGGCAATCACGGGGGCTCTTCCGGTGTGCAGGCCGGGCGTGCAGTGCATGAGTTGGTTGGTTGACTGTGGTTTGTGCTGCCATCGGTGTCTGTGCACTGGTTGAGTTGCTTGTAGCTTCCTTACCTTACCTTTTGACTCCGGGGTAACATCGTGTCGCATGGACTCTGAACCTTCTTGCATGTTTTTCACCATGACCAGCAAGAATCCTTGCAAAGGACAAGCCGAGTTTTGTTGACGTGGTTACACGGGCGGTGGTGGTGAATGGGTTTGGGAGCCCTTCAATCCTGGGTCGATGGATTGTTGCTTGGGTGAACGTGGCTCGACCATTTCTGGCGCGCGACGAGCTGGAAGGGGAATAACGTGGGCTCGTGGCACGTAAAAGTGGCTTGCCTTGCCCTGCTTTGTTCCAGGTTCGTGACTGTGGGATGCTCTTCTTCTACGAGAGTGTGCACATCTCTTCCTTTAGCGTACAATACGTGTCGTTTGTTTCATTGCAGTACATTTGCTATAGGACCTACCGCCCCTCACGTGTCATGTGGGCAAGGAAGGGGTTCAGCAAGCCGCAAGAGGCCATCGTGCCAGCTACGGTGGCTATGTAAGCCAGTTAGGCACCGACCCACTTCGTTCTTAGTGGAAACGGCGATGTGGGTCACAAGCCACATCTATCGCGAATGAGGCAACAGCTGCTTTTCAGCGCCAGAGCACCCGTCCAAACATGCGTGTGGCGATGAGCTCGACTCCGACGGTTGATGTGCGCGGCTGCCGAGCATTGAATATCGAGTACCTGCTGTCGCCCTTTACTCATTCGCCTTCACGCCTCCACTCATTCACGCCTTTATTCATCCCGCTGCCCCAGCCCATGCAACCCTGGCCCTCGCACCACCCGGTGATGTCGATTAACGCGGGGAATGTAATTGGGGAATTGGGTCGGGTTCTTGGGCCGAACGGCGGCAGCGGATGCTGCATGCTGCACCCGAGAACCATGGTTCGTTACTAATGAGTCGAGCAATTGTATGTAGCCATATTGGCTTCGCGTACCAGCGTTAAATATTGCGGATGAGTGGATCCAAACATGTAAGCGAAACAGCCTTGCTCAGGGGTCTTGCCTCCCAACAATGTTTTGGCGGCCTCGCTGACACCGCCACGTGGATGCATGGGGATCAAATCCCCTCCACATGGGCAACTTACAGCAGTTCATAGTGACAACTCCACGTGGAAATACATAACTAACAAGTAAGGCCCGCCTTCGGCGGGAGCGACCCGTAGCTCGGCAAGGGAAGCGAGTTATGTAAGCTGAAAGTTAGGTTGGGTATGTGGTGTGGAACGGGAGGAGGCGACAAATGTATGGGCGGTATGTTGCTGCTACAAGGAGTCAATCTCCGTACAATCGGCCGGCAGGTATTCTCTGCCAAGCGTACAACCTGGTTCAATTGTCGCCAGTCTTTTGGCAACTGGCAACAAGTCAACAACAACTGAACAGCTTGGTATGGTGCCAAACAGTCTAGTTAGTGGCATGTGACCAGCAGTGTAACCCCTAGCAAAACGGACACCAACCAAACCCAGTGCCGTGCAACCAGCCGTCGGATCTATCATGCTAAAAGTACAGCAGGTCGTTATCTAGTGGACGTTACCGTTACGCCGCAAAGCAAAACGTCGGCCCCTTTCAACAACAACTGAACAGTTCGGCATGGTGCCAAACAGTTTAGTTAGTGCCATGTGACCAGCCGTGTAACCCCTAGCAAAACGGACACCAACCAAACCCAGTGCTGCGCAACCAGCCGTCGGATCTATCCTGCTAAAAGTACAGCAGGTCGTTATCTAGTGGACGTTACCGTTACGCCGCAAAGCAAGACGTCGGCCCCTTTCAACAACAACTGAACAGCTCGGCATGGTGTCAAACAGTCTAGTTAGTGCCATATAACCAGCCGTGTAACCCTTAGCAAAACGGACACCAACCAAACCCAGTGCTGCGCAAGTGTACCGTTACGCCGCAAAGCAAAACGTCGGCCCCTCAGTGGGCGTTGCGGCGCTCGCCCATCCACGGGATGGCGGCGGGGTTCCACTTGGTGTGGAGCACCTGTGGGTGGGATGGATAGTGGAGGAGTGGTCGGGTCGGAGTTGTCTGGGAGAGATAGCAAGGAGACAAGATAAGAACACGAGGATGCGTTTTCCGCAAGAGAGTCCTAAATCGTTCAGTTGTGGACTCACGTGGGCATCGTCGTCCAGCTGGGCGCGGTGCAGGTGCGGGCGCAGGCGGCTCCATTCGGTGGCGGAGAGTGTGCTGCCGGGGTCACGCCATTCAGTGGACGCCATGCTGGTGGCGCGGCTGACCAGGGAGCGGAGCTGCGCGCCCGTGCACCGCATGAAGGCGGCGAAGTCGTCGTAGGCGATGACGAAGAGGTTGCCGCCCGCCGATGCGAGCTCGGTAGGCGGGCACTGGATGCGGCCGTTGGAGAGGTATACCACCGGGTGGTAGCGGGTGATCCATAGGGGAAAGCCGCGGGCGTGGTACTTAGACGCCCGGCGGAGGGAGAATTGGCTGGGGATGGAAATGGCGGCGCCGACAATTAGCGAGTAGAACCAGAGGGCGTGGCAGTACGTGTTGAGGTCCGGGTCTGCCGGGTCGTCGAGGAGGACGGCAAGCATGACTACGGAGAGGTCATAGGCTGTGACGATGGCATCTGCGGATGGGGTAAAGGTAGAGGGAGGGTGCGAGCGGGAGTGTGGAGGTATAAGGGCATTAGTTTGGCTGCGTTGACGTACAAATAAGGCACTAACTCAGGGGGGGGGTTAAAAACCAGCATTCGGCGCCCAAGTCAGCACCCGCTCAGCAACAGAACCGGAAACCACGAATACCTACCACACCCCGACCAGAAACACAACCCCAAACATACCATCCATCAAAGAATCCCGCCGACGCCAAAAAGCCCACCTGAAGCATCCGCCCGAACACCACCGACACACCGTGCCACCCCCCCAACCCCACACCCAAACAAGCTTTGGGGTCAATAGAATTGGTGACGTGCCCTGTCGCGTGTTGTGCCTCTTCCACCGGACTTACGCTTGTGTTGGGCGACGCGCTTGTTGAATTGAACGCGTTGGTGGGTGGTGCGGTTGCCAATGGTGACGTCGCACACGACGGTCGTGGCGCGCTCGGTGTCGATGATGCGCAGGATATGGACGTCTTGCAGCATGGTGAGGAGGTGGATGGCGTTGCGAAGGATCGTGAAGCCAGCGGCTGCGGTGGGAGCAATGACGTAGATGTCCTAGTCGTGTACGAGGTTGGGGGTGATGGCTTCCAGGGGGATCTGAGGGGTTGGTGGAAGGAATTAGAGGAGGGGGTGAATAAGCGGTTTGATGGGGCAGATGGGACAGAGCGAATAGAGCAAGGTGCAGGTGGAAAGGGAGGTGAAGAGGCAAGGACCAAGTGGGAGTAATGAGGAATTTTAAGGTGGTGCGGCCCCCATGTCTTCGGCTATAACTGTACCTGGAGGACTGCGTAGAGCGCGGCGCTTCCTGCAAGCGCGAGGGTGGCAGGGAAGGCTCGCAGCAGCGTGGGGATGAGGCCATTGGTCAGGCAGCCGAGGCGGCCTGCGGAGGTGGTAAGGGTTGCGACGGGAAAATGAGAGGTTGGCCCAACCTTGAAGAATTATAGCCGGACGTGAAGGTGACGACGAGCGAGTGAAGGTGACCACAAAATCCACTCCCACCCCCAAACGACCGACCACCAAAACACGCCGACGCCCCTAAAAACCCACTCCGAGGTGGCTGCATCCTACCTCCTGTCTTTCCAGGTTTACCTTTCACGTCGCGGGGGTTGACCACGTTGCGGTTGTTGGCGAATTGTTGGGGTGCGGGTGTGTTTGCAGGTGCGCGGAGAACGTAGTGACGGAGAGCGGCGAAGGCAGTTGCGATATGCGTAGAGTTGGCGATGAGGCGCTGTTGCTCGCCCCACGCCCACCGGCTGCACTAACCACCACGCCACCTTGCTGAAGGCGCTGCAAGATAGCTGACGGGTCCGTACTATCATCTAAAGGGTCGGAAGTAGAGTATGCGCCCCCATGGTGCACCTCGACGTCATCCAGCCCCAGCATGTGTACTCCAGGTCCGATGTATCCGTCTGGCTGCAGTGCGGCTGCAGGCGACACAACGACACCAGCTGTACCGCCCGGCACGGCTAGTGCGGCCGCCATGGGCGACGGCCGAGCGAAGACGCCTGCACGCGCGCGGTTGGCAACAATTTAGGATTAAAGCTGCAAAGTTCCAATTAATCTGGAGCTGGAGTTAGGGAGGCGCAACAGCCACCTGCTGGATGTTGCCCGGCGACGTCGGAAGGGTTACCTTGGGTGTGTGATTGCATGGCGGCACAGCACGGTATGGGTAAAGACGCTGTCTCCCACCCCCCTCCACGCGCAGCAATGCACATCAGGTCCTTACCTGTCACCGGGATATTTGGCGTACGACCAGACGGCGCTGGCTCCTGACCAGCACCCGGACCAGGCGATCGACCACCTACAAATGTACGGTCCCAGGCGCGGTCGGACGTACAACTGGTAATAAGGATGAGTCAAAACAAACTTTCCTGCTCACGCGCACGTTCGGACCATTGCGTTGCAAATGGAAAAGGTAGGCCCCTCACCTGCTGCATTCGCGCCCTCCGTCGCCGCTTCCACATCATCCTGCTGCTGCCGCACCCGAGCGTTGCCGGCACGATCCCCTTCAAATGCAGCGCGCATGACCGCTGCCGTGTCTGGGTCATCTGTAGCCACCGCGTGCGCCACTAACGGCTCTGGCACCGTCGGCTCCGCACCCAGAGCGCGATACTGCTGAAGTGCAGCGTGGTCCACCTGAGCCATTGGATTCACGCGAACGGCCCACTCCGCCCATGCAGCGATAGCCAGGCCCCGCATCTTCAAGCATGGTGCCTGCCGCACTTTGGCCTCGAGGTCGGCACGATCTTTGACAGCATCAATTAGCACGACCTGAATGAAGGACGGCAGATCCGCTGGAGCGTATGGCACAACACGCTGGAGCTCGCTGGGCACGTTGTTTGGAAAGGCGAGCGTATGCCCACGCAACGCCGCTGGCAAGGTATCCACCGCGCGCCAGCTGGGTGTACCCGGCTGCCGCACAACGAGCAGCCGCATGTGAGGGCGAGCGAGGCCCACCACCAAGCTCTCCAGATGCGTCAGCGGTACGAGCGAATGACCATGCTGATTTACAGGGGGTACGTCGCCGGGATCCAACCATCCAGCCAGCGCCCCATCTGGGATCCGCCCACCTGGTGAAGGGCAGTGACAGGGGCGTTCAATGTCAGTAGAGGCATGGGAATAGACGGAGGTACAGTGCCAGGGCCCGGTCGAGGCAGCCCATCATCTATAATGAAAACAAATAGCACCATGCCGGTGCTAATAGTGATCACAACCTTCGCAAACAGACGGCCCCCATGTTACCATAACAGCGTTCACTACCCAACGCACCCTGTAAGGCCTGTATGCATTCCGAGCAGACCGTAAAGCGCTCCACGCCGTCCGCTGAAACGTTCATCGTTCGGTTGGGCAGTACCGTCTCCGCGCGCATGCAGTACGGCACCTCCACCGCCACGGGATTATCGTCACACAGCCGTACCCCTACCCGTGGCGCATACGTTGGAGGACGGTCTATGTCGCAGCGTCGTCGGCGTGACGGCCGATCATCGGTAGAGTCGTCAAGGCCGCTGCTGGTCTCGCCGCTGCCCTCGCCAGCGGATGTGTCAACTACGCCGACGTTGCCCGACTGACCACCAGCGGCCTTGTAGCCGCGTGGCAGTACGGGATCCGGCGGGTTTTTGCAATCACGCCGATCGACACGCCGCCAATACAGAACGTGCGCGCAACGAGGCACAGCCGCAGTCCGCCGCATGTCAGCACGTAGCAGCTCAACGCCAGCTATCTCGCTGAACTGCAGCGCCCGGACCTCTGAAGCGGACTTGCACTCACTGCAGACTGCACACACCCGTGATGGCATGTTGTCGCGAACGAACTCGGCGAGGCCACAAGCCAAAGTTATCTGCTCCGAAAACGGTATCTGGGGAGGCTGTTCACCTGCTGGCAAGTCCTGCACCCGAGCTGGCCAAGCAGACGTTTGTGTCTCTAAGAACGTCGGCAGCTTAGGTACAGCTGGATTGTCGTGACGGAAAAGCGGCAAGCAGAGGCAGCCTGAAAGGGACTCGAGGTAATCATCGTGAGACAACCCACCCACAAGTCGAGAACGCTTACGCTGGCAAGCTTGCCTAGCTGCTGCCATCAGTTGCCTCCGCTGAAGCCTACACGCTGCATTGTCACGTCTGCGCGCCTGCCTGGCTGCAGCCGATGCCGCTGCTGGTGCACCCAAAAGGTCGTTCTGCTGTACATGCAGCGCAGTGGAACGCCCATGCCCCAATCCCAGCCCTCCCACTGCTGCCGCCGGCGCTGCTGCTGCCGCTGCTGGCGCCACTGCGGGAATTCCCACCGCGCCGGCCGGAGCCGCCAGGCCGAAGCCCGCCGGGAGTCCCACCGTCCCCGCCGGAGCCGCTAGGCCCAAGCCCCAACCAGGCTGCGCCGCGGCGGGGAGTCCCACCGTCCCCGCCGGAGCCGCTAGGCCCAAGCCCCAACCAGGCTGCGCCGCGGCGGGGAGTCCCACCGTCCCCGCCGGAGCCGCCAAGCTGAAGTCCACCGGGAGTCCCACCGTCCCCACCAGAGCCGCTAGGCCGAAGCCCACCGGGAGTCCCACCGTCCCCGCCAGAGCCGCTAGGCCCAAGCCCCAACCAGGCAGCGGCGCCCAAAGACCGAGGCCCAAGCCAGCCGCAGCCGAGGCCCCTAGCCTGGAGCCTCCGCCGACCCCCGCAGCCGTACCGCACAAACCCGCCTGCCCCGAGCTACCTCCTCCTGCGACTGTACGCTGCACACCAGCGCTCGGCAGATGCCCTCGCTGTTGTGCTTGCTCCTGTTGCAGACGAGCGATAGTCTGGTACAACGCAACAGCAACAGCATCTGCCCGCATGAGGTCCTGTTGCCGCACCACGTCTGGATCCCCCAGCTGGAGCTGCCATCGCACCGAAGCGAGTGGGTTAGGAGGAAGGTGACCAGCAGCAACAGCATACCGAGCGCACAGCGTAGCAACGACATACTCGCTGTCACTCCTCTGGCGTACTCGATCCAGTAAGCCGTGCTCAAGTATGTACGTCCCAAGCTCCAGCATGTAAGTAGCTACCTCAGGCACTGTATGCCCGAACCCACGCAAACGATCGACGACCCGCTGAACGAATTCCGACAAAAGCCCAGGGAAGCATAGAACCGCATAAACGGAACCTTGACGCTCGGTCAGCAACAAGCTGGCAACTGCTTTGAACCACGGCCACACGCTGAGCCGACGTAAGCCGCTGCAGTAGAGCACGTTGTCGAGCGGGTCACCCGCGCCTGCGACACGCCCAAGGGAAAGGCTGGTACAGCGCCAGAATATAACCGAACGTCATGCGCTCGCCACACACACCTTGATCATCCTTTCCCATGGTGCCCAGCTCGGAAAGCGGTAGCTCTATACCAAACAACGAAACAAAAAACAGCAGCAGCAAGCCAAAGGCTCTGCTAGGACTATTTTCCAGGCAAGGAAGCACTTTCGTTAGCCTCGCCGCACGTGGCGTGGCTTGTGCACCGTTATAAATTGGTTTTACGCGCTTTCTTATACGCTTATTTAGACGTCTATCTAAAACATCTTCGTAGGTGGGTTGTGAAGCGGCGTGGTTTTCCTCGCGAAATCGAAGCGCGGTGAAGCCACGCTGGCTACGCAATATAGCCGTAGTAGACTTCACAAACTCGAACAAACTTCACAAGCAACGACACGAGCGACGCACGAAGAGTTGGCCGGCCGTTGAAAATCTGGTAAGATTCCGTATCAAAGAGCGTGACAGCAAAAGCGCGCCACGCTGGACGGTTCAAAGTGAAGGCCGAGCCGTGAACAAGAGCGCTGAAAGGATCCCGTTGAGCGTGACGGGAACGGGGTATGCATCCCTTCGCTTCGCTCCTCCGAAACCGCATACTTCGTATACGTTTTCTTCGAATCGAGCTACGGGGATAAAGAAGGTACTTATTCGCCGCAACAATTACCCTTCTGGTCATTGCCGCTTCCAAACAAAACGTCCATAGCCTACGCTCATGCTAGGGGCAAAGCCGGCACCGGCATTGCCATCTTATTTTCTATCATTCCCCAAATCAGTTAACTGCCATCACCTGGCCATATCCTTTACTGGGCCCATCCTGAAACCGAACTAATTCTAGGTATAGGTCGGATGCAGGAGCAGCACCCAGGCAAAAAGCTTGCAGAGCCGCCTTTCCTCTTTCTCCTTCCAAAAGACCTGCTTCTAAACATCCTACCCAAGGCGGCCACCGGCGCAGCGGGCGCCTACGCCTCCTGCCGCGCGCTTCGCGATGCCTGGCAGGCCGCGATCAGGCAGCCGGGCGGCGCCAGCGCCTACCTGATTGCCCGTTACGGCATCCAAGATGCAATCCTATATGTCTACACCTGCCCCGGCTTGCTGAAGTTCGTGCTGGCAGACGTTCCCGCGGCCGAGCACGACAGCAGGGTGCTGCGGATGATGAAGGAGCTGGAGAAGCAGCACAAGCAGTACGTTGGAAGCGGGTACTCGGCCAGCCAAGCCACCGCGCTGGCGGCTGTCGCCCCTAAAGCCGCCGCTGCGGGTCACCTGGGCACGTTGCGGTGGCTTCTTCGCCGGATCCCGTCTCCCGAACAGACATCTTCAGGCGCTTTCTGTCTGCACGAGGCGGCCGCTTGGGGCCATCTGAATGTGGTTCGGTGGTGGCTGCGGGAGAGGGAAGTGGTGGCAGCAGCAGCAGGCAATGACGGGGAGGAGACTTCGATCGCCCTGTCCGGCGCCCGGTTGGAAGCCCTGATTCGTGCGGCCAAGTATGACCGAGTGGAGGTGGTGCGGGAGCTGCTGCAGGCGAGAGCCGACCCACGGGTCGAGCCTGAAGCTTTGTTGGAGGCAGCACGGTGGTGAGTAAATTGGATCATTTGACGTGTGCCATGCCTTAGGACCAAGTGGATGGGGCCTCATTCGTGACTTCTTCCTCACGCTGCTATCATATTTTCTTCCTTGCACTGCTTTAGCGATAGATAGCGTATCCATGACATGACCGTTTAGTACAGCGTTCCCTCGCCGCTCTTCGGCCCTTGTCACGTTACCGCTCATCCATTCCAGGGGCGCTGAGGATACGGCGGCGGTGCTGCTAGCTGCCGGAGCAGACGCCAGCGCCATAGAGTCCGTAGGCTTGACGCTCGCGTCCGCCTACGGCCATGCAGGGATTGTACGGCAGCTGCTGGAGGGGGGCGCTGACCCCACCGCGCAGGAGAGCACGGCCCTTCTGGGTGCGGCCAAGTTCGGTCACGTGCAGGTGGCACGGCAGCTGCTCGAGGCGGGGGCGAACCCCACCGCGCGGGACAACTTTGCGATGCACGTCGCATACGAGCCCGGCCACATTGAGGTGGTGCGGCTGTTGCTTTCAGCTGCAGGCGGGGTGGATATCAGCAGCATCGGCGGCCGCTACCTCGCTTTCAAGTCAGCCGAGGAGGGCTATGACGACATAGCCGAAACGCTGCTGCAGAGGGGTCGCTTCAGCGTCACGGACTGCAGCAATTTGCTCGCGCGATCAGATACCAACTTCCCGCTGCTGTGCCGGCTGACCTGGATGTGCCTGGTGGCTGCATGGCGGCGCTGGCGGCCGGAAGCAGCAGCAGTGCGACCCGTGGGTCACCAGCTCCTGGGCTTTTTCATCTGGTGCTTCCGTTCGGCCGTGCTGGTCTACTTTGCGGCTGCGTTGCTCCTCTTCGATGCGGCTGTGCTGCTGCCGCTCAAATATGTTACCAACGCTGGGCAAGGCGGCATCAAGCTGCTGCTGCTGGGGATGCGACGGTGCGCAGAGGTCGTATTCCGGGTGCTGCTGAGCCTGCTCGCCTTCCTGCGGGAGGCGGCGGACAGGGACAACTACCTGCGGTGAAGGCGGCGCCGGAGGTGACGTTGGCGGCGGCGGTGGCGGTGAAGTTGGTGGCGGGGTGGCGGGGTGGCGGGGTGGTGGGGTGGTGAGCAGCGCGCAAAGTAGGCTTTTGCGAGGCGCCTTGCTTGCTTGCGGCGGGGTGCGAGGCACGGTGCGAGTGCGGATGGACGGAGGTAGGGGTCTCATGCTGCACACCCTTCCGTGAAGCGGGGGGTACTGGTCGCCTTTGGTGTGGCGGGCGGATGGGTGCGGGGTAGTGGGCTAGAGGGCGAATGTGGGTGTTAAGAAACTGGCCGCGAGTCGGAACGTGCTATACAGCAACATATCGGCACATATCGGTATTGCGTGCTGGGGCTGGATTGACGGGCGCAGCAGATTCCACGACGCATGTGAAGGCTCCGGTGTAAGTGCGCGTCGGGGTGTGTCGCTGTGTGTGTGTGCCGTACCAAGTGGCCATTACACAAGTATGCTGGGCCGTACATACTTGCCGTACATACTTAGCAGGTGGCTGGTCGCAAGCAGGTTTCATGAGGCTGGTGCGGGTGAGGTTAGAGGTTGCCGGCATAGGTTGTACGGGACCCTTGCCATGTGTGCATATCGGCTGTTTTGGTGCCGTACTAGCCGCCAAGTCGCGGGGCTATAGGCCCGTTGGGTCGATGATACGGGCATAGGGTGCGCTAATTGCAGGACCGACCCGTGGGACAACAGCAGCTCTTTGCTCGTATTGCCGTACGTTTACATTGCGACGCCCAGGTTTCAGGAAGTGGGGCCAAGCCGTCGCGTACATGTAAACCCCGTACGAGCGCAACTTCGTCCATGTGAGCAGTGCGAGAGGCGGCACTCAGGACGCATGTGTAACAATCCTAGGTTCATGGGTTGTTCCTGCAGCCTTCGGTCGTGCAGCTGCGTCGAGATTAAGGGCCGTACGACGGTGAAATGAGGGCCGTACAATGGTGAGGTGAGGGGCGTACAAGGGGCCGCAACCCAGATAAACCTATGTTACACGCGTGTAGTACCCAGGCCGCAGCGGTGTGACAGCCCCCGTACGTAGGTCCCCAGCGTGTCACACATGCATGTTCTGCCCTAGCAGAAAGAGATCCAATACAAGCTATACCATCGGTCGCGTGCACAACACCTTGCAAGTACACAGCCACACACTCGCCCGCCTCGTCCACATCCGCACTACACCCAACCCGCCTCGCACCCTTCGTCTCCCGCCCGCCTCCACAACCCCTTGCTAAGCCGCCCAGCATCTCCACTTCCCATCCTAATCACGCATCGTAGTTATCCACACCCGCATCCCGCAGCGCCGCCGTGCCCGCATATCGGCACCCCGCCTTGGCCGCCCGCAGCAGCCCCTCCACGCCCCGCTCCAGAAGGGGTGGCCGCAGCTCGGGGTTGCGTGCCGCCTGCACCCGCACGCACCAGCAGACACGCCTGCCGCTGCAGGGGCGCGCGGGCGGGTTAGCGCTGCAGGGCCTCCACCGAGTCGGCCACACGTGGGCTGCAGATCTGTATGCGGGAGGTGCGGTGGGAGGGAAGAGGGTGGAAGGGAGCATGGCATTGGTTTGAGGGAGGAGGTAAGCAGGGCGGAAATTGAGTACCGGTAGGTTGGTGAGGAGGAGGAGGATGACGGGTGGCCACACTCGTTCACATTCGTTCATAGCATGCATACATGCTTCTCCTTCTCCTTCGTTTCCCCCCCCCTCCCATCTACCTTCAATCCCCCCTCCCCTCCCTTCCCACCTCCGGCTGCCGCAGCATCCTGTTGACCAGCATCCCCAGCGCGCCCGCCGCCACGTCACCCGCACCCGCATGCAGATCCAAGCAGTGTACGGCAAGCGGTACGGCACCGGCCGCCACGTCACCCGCACCCGCATGCAGATGCAAGCAGTGTACGGCAAGCGGTACGGCACCGGCCGCCACGTCACCCGCACCCGCATGCAGATCCAAGCAGTGTACGGCAAGCGGTACGGCACCGGCCGCCACCAGCCGCTTCACGGTGTCACAGCTGCCGCAGGGGGCCCAGACAGGCGCGGAGGACGTCTCGCTGGGTCGCACAGTCGCTGGAGGGGAAACGAGGGAGGGAGCGGGGGGGGGAGGAATGGAGGAGGGAGGGACGTAGAAGCCCCCCTCCCGCGCACCACCCCATGCAGCCAGCCCCCACCTGAGCACTTGCAGGCAAGCCATCACACCGCCTTCGTCCGTGAACCCCCGGCAGGTCTCCCCGTTGGCTGCCACCTGGGGGGGGGGGAGGGAGGGAGGCGGGTGAGGCAGGCTTGCATGGGGCGAGAGGGGGTGAAGGAAGCCCTACAAGACCCCACGCGCTTCACCTTTACCCCCACCTATCCCCCCTTCAACCGCCCCCTCTCCTCCTCCTTTCTCCTCCCCTCTCCCTCCCACTCTCCTACCTGCCGTACAGTGCCCAGCACCCGGCACACGCGCATGCATGAAGGCCTTGCTGGCGGGCGGCCGCTCGTCATCCGCAGTCGTCACGGCTCGCAGCGCACCGCATGCAGCGCCAACCAACTACAACGGAACAGCTGCCGTACCGCTGCTGCGCCTGCTGCCTCCGCCACCGCGACCACTGCGGCCTTCTTGGCGTGCGTGCTGCTGGCGTCGCTGCGGCGCAGGTCGTGCAGCAGCTCCACACCCTGGGGGTGGCCCGGTCCCCGGGGGAAGGGGGTTAGCGGTGAGGTTGAGGAGAGGCAGGAGAAGGAGCGGTGGCGGTGGTGGTTGATGGATGCGGTGTGGGGACAGCGGACAAGTGGAGCGGGCGGTGCGTATAGGACAGGGTTCCGGACTATGGCGTGCGAGTGCGGTCCCGCACACCACACGCACCTTACGCCCCACAAACATTCCGGCTCACCTGCGGCCCGACCACCTCACCTGCGCCTCCCCAGGAAGTGCACCAGTTTTGAGTGTTACCTACCTACAACGGCTTGGCCTAAGAGATGTTTGGCTAAGAAGCCGCTTCAGTGTCTCTGAACGGTTGCGAGTCATGTCTTCAAGGAAAGGATTCGAGCCGCAAGAGGCCTTCATGCGGGCTACGATGATTTATGCAAGCCAGTGTTTTCCAAGAGTTAGACACCGACCAACTTCCCTATTCATGGTGATGTGGGTAAGCCACGTCGCGAATAAGGCAACAGCTGCTTTCCAAACATGCGTACGGCGATGCGCTCGACTCCGACGGTTAATGTTCGCTGCTGAATAACGAGTGAAGTTGTGCCGATAATTTTCATAGTTGCCGCCCTTTAAATTAAGTTAATAATCGGCGTATCCATTGCCCTCCTGTGGCACTTTTACTCGTGATATGTCTACAAGAGCGCTAGTTAGACCGACGATAGTGTAAATGTTCAGCAACATGTGCATTGTAAATCTACCCAGCTTGCACGTCAGCGCGCCTCATCCCGGCACCTTCTTTTCCTACCGCGTCTCCTTGTTCCCATGACACTGACCAAAAATGTCAACGCAGTTCCGCACTCGGTCATCCACACATTTTAATAGGTTCATAGTACTCCTCTTACTTTTCGTTCTTGGATACGGCCAAGGTCAGCCGGTTGGCCAATTCGAAGGTTGGACGGGTCTTCTGCCGCTTGCAGCGCTTTACCTAACACTCACTGGGAATTGCAGTTACGATAAAGACATTTCTCACTCCTAACGTTGATGTGTAGTATGAAACTATCCGCCATGTCATCTGACTGCATTCTTCTCCTTCCCTGGCAAGCGCTCACGCACTCCCCTTCTCTTGCCCATCTTTCCATTCAGGTCCTCCCGATCAGCCTCCCCCTACACCCTCCCCACCGCCGGCCCCGTTGCCTTTCCCTCAGCCCCCACCTACTCCGACCCCACCACCGACCTCCCCCCAGCCCCCACCTGCACCCTCCCCGCCACCCGCCCCACCGTCGCCCCTCCCTCAGCCCCCACCCACCCCCTCCTCCCGACCACCACCCGCACCGTCCTCTTCCTCCTCCACACAGCCTCCCCCACCCTCTCCCTTCCCACCTCGCTTCCCGCCTCGTCCGCCCTCCCCAACCGACACCAACTGCTCATTCGCCTTCGCATGGGACGCCGCGGACCTCTTCACTCGCAGCTACACCTCCATCAACGACTCCCTCACACTCCTCCTGTCGTACATCGGCAACAGCTCCTTAACCACCACAACCACCGCAACCACCTCGCCTCCTTCCTCATGGTTTTGGACGGTCACCGCCTCCGTCACCGCCACCTTTGGCGCCCCCGACTCCACCTCCCTCCTCACTCGCACCGCTTGTGATGTCGCCACCCAAGTCATCACCGAACGCCTGCCCCCGCTCTCCTTCCTCTTCGGCCTCAACGACCTCTCATGCGCCAATATCTCCGCACCGCCTCCTCCTCCCTCCCCACGACCCCCCAACCCGCCCGCCTCCCTCCCCTCCCCGCCTCCCCCGCCCCCGCCCCCGCCCCCCAGCTCTAACAGCCCTAGCTGCAGCTCCGAATCACAGCAGCCTGTTGTACAAACCCTGTCGTACACCATCGGTTCCCTCACGCTGCTTCCCTCGCTCTCGCCCGCCTCCTCCACGCCCACCCTGCCGCTTCACCTCGACGCGGTGGCGGGGCAGCTGCTGCCGCTGTGGCAGCACTTCGGGTACTGCGTGGTGCTACCCTGGTGGGCGACGGGGGCAGCAGCGGGGGGCAGCAGCAGCGGCAACACGGCGACTGTGATGCTGACGGTGAGCGTTGGGGGTGGTGCTGCGGTCTAGTGAGGATGCAGCGCCCGGATCTCCCTGTCCGGTAGCTGCCGTACAGAGGTCTGGTAGCTGCCGTACAGAGGTACAGCCGCGTACGGTAGCGTAGGAGTGAGGGAATGGCGTTGCCGGAGAAAGGGTAGCGTGCGTGGGGTCCGCTTCCGCATCCCAACTGCCCCGTCTACCTGATGCCCTCATGAACGCACGCCCCTCCGCTCCCCATGCATGACGCCTCCACAGTCAGTACCGGAGTATCTTCGCGGGAGCCCGGTTGCAGGCCTTGCAGTACCCCACCTCCCAACCCACCTCCTAACCCTCGCAATACCCCCCCCCCAACAGGTGCCCAGCTGGGCTGCTGCCGCGGCCCTGACTGCCGCCGCCGCCTCCCGCGAGCCCGCCGCCAACCTCACCTCCAGCGGCTGCACGCTGCTGGCAGCACGGGCGCTGCAGGCGCTAGCTGCGGGGGCCAGCAGTGCCGCCGCCTCCTCTTCTTCGTCATCCACGGCCTCTCAGCTGGCAGCGCTGTCAAAGCTGGTTTCGCCGGTACAGGTGGGGTGAGGGACGCGTGTTGTGGGGTGGGGGTTGTGGGGTGGGGGTTGTGGGGTGGGGGTTGTGGGGTGGGGGTTGTGGGGTGAGGGAGGGAGGGAGGGAGGGAGGGACGTCTTGACATGTAACCCTGGAGTGTGGGTGTGGGTGTATGGCCTTGCTCTCCCTAAGCAGCAGCAGAGGCAAGCGGTTGGCCGGTTGGTTGGTGGGTGCTGTCACCCAGGCATGCATGCATGCGTGTGTGTGTTTGGGTGGTGGGTGCTCTCAGCCCACATGCCCCTCGCTCCACATCGGCACCCGCACCGCCCCAGGCACCCGCACCGCGGACTGCATGTGTAGGGGCGTAGCAGCACACAACACCGTTGTCAAATACGCTCTGTAACTTTCTGGCAACCTTTCTTAACACCGTTGTCCTGTGTTGCTCTGACCCGGCCCTCCCTTCTCCCTGCTGCCACCCACCCCCCACACACCCCCGCAGTCCGAGGTCACCCTCGCAGCCGCAGCACTTGTGTCCAAGCTCTCAGCCAGCCAGCAATCCGGTACCACCTCCTCCACCACCTCACCCTCACCCTCCTCCTCTTCCGGCGGGGGTATCAGCACGGGTGAGCACGTGTGCGCACGTCAGCGCCGTACGACAGAAGGAAAACACACATGCGGATCAACTCCTCCTGATTTCCTCTTTATATGCCCGGTTTCGGCTGGCCGTGTATTGGGTTGTGGGCGGTTGTGGATGGATGACACCCACCCATGTATCGGGCTCTCCCAGTCCGACTCCTGCATCTGTTCCATGCACGCTAATCTCCTTCCCCCTGCCACCCCCCACCACCGGCAGCTCTGGTGGCGGGTTGTGTGATGGGCGGCCTGGCGCTGCTGCTGCTGCTGGCGGCGGCGCTGGTGGTGTATCGGCGGCATCGGGTGGCCTCCCAGGTTGCAGCGGTGAGGAGCGGGAGGGGAGGAATGGGGTGTGTGAGGGAGGGGCAGGGCGGCTTGTTTGAATCCTCCTTCCGTACCAACCCGTACCCCTTCCTTACCGCTTTCCTCACCCCTTCCTTTCCACGACCCAACAGAAGGCCCCTCCGCACTCTCCAGCATCCCAACAGCCCAACGAGGAAAGCAACGACCAACGACCACAACCGCAGCACCAACCCGACGCACCGCAGTCCCCATCTGGAGGGGAGGGCGACCCGCGGGTCAGTGATGTGCTGGCGGCACCGCCGCCACCCATGGAAGCCGCTAAACCCAGCACCGACAGCCAGGTAGGGTAAAACAGCTGGGGGCGGCTGCATTCTCACACGTTCGGCTGCGGCTTGCCGGCTAGCAGACTGCAGACTGGTGTGGAGTGCCCTTGCTAGCTTCACTGTTTACCTTCCTTTTTGCCCTAGCGTTTTTGGGGTTTGGCGTTTTCCCGCACGTCGGTTCCTACCTACACTGTCTTCCTCTTGCCACTTTAGAGGTGTTTCTTGCAGCAGCTACACGCCATGTCCCTGCCCCTGTTCCGACCTCCACACCGCCTATCCCTCCCCTTTCCCTCCCTCCCATCCCCCCCCCTCGGCCCCTCCTAGGTCCTCCGGGTACCCACACCGCCTCCCAACAACCCCCCGCTGCAAGGCCACGACCAACACCCGCTCCAGCCCTTCCATGCGGGCGACCCACAGAACCAGCAGGATCTGCAGGAGCAGCTGCAAGGCGTCCGCCGACCCGCCTGGCCCGCACGGCCCTCCTTCTTCGGACCCTGGTTCGCACGCCAACCCGTATTCCCCTTCGGCGGCATGTTCCCGCCCCGCCCGCTCCCGATGCCCCTGCCGCCGCCGCCGCTGCCCCAGCCCATGCAACCCCAGCCCTCGCACCACCCGGTGATGTCGTTCAACGCGGGGGCGCCCTCGCCGTACAGCCCGTACGGTGCTGGACTTCAATCGTACGACAGCGCTGCGGCCCCCTGGTGAGAGCGCTTAGCGCTTGGCATGTCGTACATACGTGTGCGCATGTGTGTTTTACGGTGGGCCACGTGTTCTTGTCACCTACCCGTCTCTTCCGTGTCCCTCGTCCCTTGCCACGCCACCCTGCCTTTCCTTACCTGGCTTCCATGCCTTTATCCTACTCCCGACACTCCTCCCTGCTTGCCCAATGCCTTACAACTGCCCCCACCTCCATGCTTCCCTCCATCCAGGAGCGACGGCATGCCGCACCCCCACCAGCAGCTCCCACCCCCACAGCCCCCAGGCCCCGCTCCCGCCACCCTCGACCCCACCTCCTCCTTCCCGGAATCTGCCGCCGCCGCCGGCGCAGCAGCAGCAGGGCCTGCGGAGCCCGCTGGTGGCGGTGGCGGTGATGGAGGCGGAGGAGGGAAACATCACAAGAAGCATCCCCACCGTCAACTCAGCAAGGCACCGGGGGCTGAACAGGCGGCTGAACAGCAGCAGCCACAGCAGCAGCAACAGGCGGGGTCGGCAGCTGCAGCAACAGCGGCGGCCCCACCGCAGGAAGGCTGGGCTCATGCGCTGTACGGAGATTCCGGCATGCCTCGAAGGAACTTCGGGGACGGCGCTTACGGGGGTGTGCCGTCTTGAGGGGGCCGCCGGCACTGTGGAGCGTTGCAAGGCGAGGAGTGTTGGTTCGACATCTTGAAAACTGTTGTCGAGTGTTAACAGGACTGTTGGGGGTTGCACTTAACTCGCAAGGAGGGGACTGGCAACACTAGGAATAAGAAGTCTGAGGGTTTTGCTTGATAATAGTGTTGAATGCGTTGTGGACTGGCGTCGTACGTACGTGTGCGTGCTGGGTGCTGGAAGTGTGTTGCGGCCGCTGATGGAGACATGGAGGGAACCGGAGCGGCATACTTGCTTGGCACCAGCTGACCATCACTGTGACGAACTGACCATGCGAGGTTGCTTGGGTTATGGAAGGACAAAGGTTGCTTGGACTTGTGACAGTCATGCACTGGTGAGTGCCTACAAGGTAGGGACGTTTGGAGGGCGTGGTAAACGCGCAGGAGTGGCGAAGGGGATGACTATGGATCCTACAGGGTTTTGTTTTGTACAGGTAGCAAGCAAGGACGGGGCCCTACCTTCTACGGTGCGTGCCAAGGCGGGTACCGAGGGCAGTGGGGTCAAGGCAAAGGAATGTACGAGCATGTGAGGCAAAGGAGTTAGAAGCCAGCAACTGGACTGAGAAGCTGGCTGCAGCAACCGGGTGTGTTGCAGGGAGAGTCGGTGCTTGTGTGCAAGGCACAACTCTTCAGCCTGATTATACGGAATGTTACAATCAATACCGTACGAGGTTGTTGACAAGATGGCACGTTTACCGGAGACTGTCTGTGGTACTGATATAAATATCTTTTTATGCCGCCGTTTGGACCGCTTTGGGACGTACTCGTAAAACTTGTCCTGGGTGCGCAGAAAGCGCGTACATTGCGGCGGGGAGCGATGCACATTAAGGTGATGCTACCGGTATAGCGGCAGCTGGTTGTTGGTAAGGAGAGTATACGACATCTTATATACGGCATATGGCAATTTGGAGTGAATTGGTTTGATACTGTGAGCCGGGATGCAGGCTGTCTAACCATGTTTGTGGTACTGTGAAGGCAGGTTAGGGGTCCCTCTACCTCTGATCCTTGGCTCTTACTTCGTTGACTGGCACTGATGCCGCACGAGCCAACATTGCACCTGTATTGTGGAACTTGCTGTGCACGCACTATGATACCTTGAGACGTGTGTTAAGTGTTTAGAATGCAACACAGTGCACTACCATGCATCTGTGGAGTGGTGTCACACCCTTTGGGAGCATGTGCTGCAGGAGGTGGTAGTTCTCAACTTCCTTTCACTGCACACCGGGTCGTCGAACCCGCGTGGCCGCGGCCTGAACTGCAGCTGCACCCTGCAGCTGCACCCTCCTCCTCCTCCTCCTCCTCCTCCTCCTTGCTTCACTTATAAAAGGTTTTCCCGCCTCCTAATCCTCCTCCACCCTACGCATGCATCCAAAGCTGTCTTTTACACAAAAAGCGCAAGCATAATAGGGTTGCTGACCAACACAGGGGGCCAGTACAGCGGGGGTGCTTGCATGTGTTAAGAAAACTGGCCGCGAGTAGAAAACTTGCTTGCATGTGTGCCTGCGTGGGGCAAGGGGGCGGGAGTGCGTGCATGCGTGTGGAGGTTGCATGGGGCAAGGCGGCGAGTGTTGTGGGAGTGCTTGCATGCGAGCATGTGTGGGTTGCATGGAGTGAGGGGGGCAAGTAAAGCGGAGGTGCATGCATGCGTGTTGGAATGCATGGGACGAGTGGGTGCTTAATAAAGCTGGGGTGCTTGCATGCATGAATTGCATGGGGCATGGGGGATTGTAGGTTTCTTGCATGCGTGTGTGGGCTGCACGGGACCAAGGGGTGCACAAGGTGGGGGCGCATGCCTGTATGCGTGTGAGGGTTGCAGAGTTGCATGGGCTCCCAGCTCCCTCTCCCACCCAGCTCCCTCTCACACACAGCTCCCTCTCCCACCCAGCTCCCTCTCCCACACAACTCCCTCTCCCATCCAGCTCCCTCTCACGCACAGCTCCCTCCCACACACCTGTGTCAGACTGCTCCAGGGACTGTGGAGCAGGCAGGCCGCCTACTCCAAGCGGCGGCGCAGGCGATGCTGCCAGCGGCGGCGGCGGCGCTTTCAAGGACGACGGCGGCGGCGGCGGCAGCGGCTTAGACGTCGGCGGCGCCGGTGAGAGGCTCGGCTGTCGCGGTGCGTCTGGCCCCAAAGGTGCGTCCGGTGGGTCGTACACGACAATAAGGGGTGGCGGCGCCAGCCGTCGCGGCGGCGGCGGCAACGGCGAGGGTGACGGCGGTGGGGAGGGTGACGGCGGCGGCAGCGGGGCGGGAGGCCTAGGCGACGGAGGTCTGGGTCGGGGGACGTGAGGCGGCGGCGGCCGCGGGGGTGCCGGCGGCGGCAGCGGCGGGAGACCGCCGCTGCATGCCGGCAGCGAGGCGAGTGCCGTACGGTGCTCCGCTGGCCATGTGCTGCCGCCGGGGTTAGGTCGGGGCGAGCTTTCTGAGGTGACGGGGGCGAGGCTTCTGAGGTGGCAGGGGCGAGGCTTCTGAGGTGGCAGGGGCGAAGCTTCTGAGGTGGCAGGGGCGAGGCTTCTGCGGTGGCAGGGGCAAGGCTTCTGAGATAGCAGGGGCTAGGGTAATGAGGAGGCAGGGGCGAGGCTTCTGAGGTGGCAGGGGCGAGGCTCCTGAGGTGGCAGGGGCAAGGCTTCTGAGATAGCAGGGGCTAGGGTAATGAGGAGGCAGGGGCAGGGCTTCTGAGGTGGCAGGGGCGAGGCTTCTGAGGTGGCAGGGGCGAGGCTTCTGAGGTGACGGGGGCGAGGCTTTTGAGGTGGCAGGGGCGAGGCTTCTGAGGTGGCAGGGGCGAAGCTTCTGAGGTGGCAGGGGCGAGGCTTCTGCGGTGGCAGGGGCAAGGCTTCTGAGATAGCAGGGGCTAGGGTAATGAGGAGGCAGGGGCAGGGCTTCTGAGGTGGCAGGGGCGAGGCTTCTGAGGTGGCAGGGGCGAGGCTTCTGAGGTGGCAGGGGCGAGGCTTCTGAGGTGGCAGGGGCGAGGCTTCTGAGGTGGCAGGGGCGAGGCTTCTGAGGTGGCAGGGGCGAAGCTTCTGAGGTGGCAGGGGCGAAGCTTCTGAGGTGGCAGGGGCGAAGCTTCTGAGGTGGCAGGGGCGGGGCTCTGAGGTGGCAGGGGCGGGACTTCTAAGGTGGCATGGGCAAGGAGGTCGGCGGAGGCTAGGTCGGCGGGTGCTAGGTCGGCGGGTGCTAGGTCGGTGCGTGCTAGGTCGATGTGTGCTAGGTCGGCGCGTGCTAGGTCGGAGGGTGCTAGGTTGGAGGGTGCTAGGTCGGCGGGGGCTAGGTCGGCGGGTGCTAGGTCGGCGCGTGCTAGGTCGGCGGGTGCTAGGTCGGCGGGTGCTAGGTCGGCGGGTGCTAGGTCGGCGGGTGCTAGGTCGGCGGGTGCTAGGTCGGTGTGTGCTAGGTCGGCGCGTGCTAGGTCGGCGGGTGCTAGGTCGGCGGGTGCTAGGTCGGGGGGTGCAAGGTCGGCGCTTGCTAGGTCGGCGGGTGCTAGGTCGGCGGGTGCTAGGTCGGCGGGTGCTAGGTCGGCGGGTGCTAGGTCGGCGCGTGCTAGGTCGGCGCGTGCTAGGTCGGCGGGGGCTAGGTCGGCGGGGGCTAGGTCGGCGCGTGCTAGGTCGGCGGGTGCTAGGTCGGCGGGTGCTAGGTTGGCGGGTGCTAGGTCGGCGGGTGCTAGGTCGGTGGGTGCTAGGTCGGCGGGTGCTAGGTTGGCGGGTGCTAGGTCGGCGGGGGCTAGGTCGGCGGGGGCTAGGTCGGCGGGTGCTAGGTCGGCGGGGGCTAGGTCGGCGGGGGCTAGGTCGGCGCGTGCTAGGTCGGGGGGGTGCTAGGTCGGTGCGTGCTAGGTTGGCGGGTGCTAGGTCGGTGTGTGCTAGGTCGGCGGGTGCTAGGTCGGTGCGTGCTAGGTCGGCGGGGGCTAGGTCGGCGGGGGCTAGGTCGGCGGGTGCTAGGTCGGCGGGGGCTAGGTCGGCGGGGGCTAGGTCGGCGGGGGCTAGGTCGGCGGGTGCTAGGTCGGCGGGGGCTAGGTCGGCGGGGGCTAGGTCGGTGGGTGCTAGGTCGGTGGGTGCTAGGTCGGCGGGTGCTAGGTCGGCGGGGGCTAGGTCGGCGGGGGCTAGGTCGGCGGGGGCTAGGTCGGCGGGGGCTAGGTCGGCGGGGGCTAGGTCGGCGCGTGCTAGGTCGGGGGGTGCTAGGTCGGTGCGTGCTAGGTCGGCGGGGGCTAGGTCGGTGCGTGCTAGGTCGGCGGGTGCTAGGTCGGTGCGTGCTAGGTCGGCGGGGGCTAGGTCGGCGGGTGCTAGGTCGGCGGGGGCTAGGTCGGCGGGTGCTAGGTCGGCGGGGGCTAGGTCGGTGCGTGCTAGGTCGATGTGTGCTAGGTCGGCGCGTGCTAGGTCGGAGGGTGCTAGGTTGGAGGGTGCTAGGTCGGCGGGGGCTAGGTCGGCGGGTGCTAGGTCGGCGCGTGCTAGGTCGGCGGGTGCTAGGTCGGCGGGTGCTAGGTCGGCGGGTGCTAGGTCGGCGGGTGCTAGGTCGGCGGGTGCTAGGTCGGCGGGGGCTAGGTCGGCGCGTGCTAGGTCGTTGGGTGCTAGGTCGGCGGGTGCTAGGTCGGGGGGTGCTAGGTCGGCGGGGGCTAGGTCGGTGCCGTGAGCTGTATGGAGCATCTACACGCAAGATCACACTGCCCGGGCACTAGCTAACGGCTGTGCGAGGCCCCGTGAGGGGCTGATCACGCTGATCACGCTGGCAACCGGTTAACCGGTACAGGCCGTGATCGGGCACATTCCATGGCCACACCTACCTTAAAGGCACGCAGGGGGCTGTATGGAGCATCTACACGCAAGATCACACTGCCCGGGCACTAGCTAACGGCTGTGCGAGGCCCCGTGAGGGGCTGATCACGCTGATCACGCTGGCAACCGGTTAACCGGTACAGGCCGTGATCGGGCCCATTCCATGGCCACACCTACCTTAAAGGCACGCAGGGGGCTGTATGGAGCATCTACACGCAAGATCACACTGCCCGGGCACTAGCTAACGGCTGTGCGAGGCCCCGTGAGGGGCTGATCACGCTGATCACGCTGGCAACCGGTTAACCGGTACAGGCCGTGATCGGGCCCATTCCATGGCCACACCTACCTTAAAGGCACGCAGGGGGCTGTATGGAGCATCTACACGCAAGATCACACTGCCCGGGCACTAGTTAACGGCTGTGCGAGGCCCCGTGAGGGGCTGATCACGCTGATCACGCTGGCAACCGGTTAACCGGTACAGGCCGTGATCGGGCCCATTCCATGGCCACACCTACCATAGAGGCACGCAGGGGGCTGTATGGAGCATCTACACGCAAGATCACACTGCCCGGGCACTAGCTAACGGCTGTGCGAGGCCCCGTGAGGGGCTGATCACGCTGATCACGCTGGCAACCGGTTAACCGGTACAGGCCGTGATCGGGCCCATTCCATGGCCACACCTACCATAGAGGCACGCAGGGGGCTGTATGGAGCATCTACACGCAAGACCACACTGCCCGGGCACTAGCTAACGGCTGTGCGAGGCCCCGTGAGGGGCTGATCACGCTGATCACGCTGGCAACCGGTTAACCGGTACAGGCCGTGATCGGGCCCATTCCATGGCCACACCTACCATAGAGGCACGCAGGGGGCTGTATGGAGCATCTACACGCAAGATCACACTGCCCGGGCACTAGCTAACGGCTGTGCGAGGCCCCGTGAGGGGCTGATCACGCTGATCACGCTGGCAACCGGTTAACCGGTACAGGCCGTGATCGGGCCCATTCCATGGCCACACCTACCATAGAGGCACGCAGGGGGCTGTATGGAGCATCTACACGCAAGATCACACTGCCCGGGCACTAGCTAACGGCTGTGCGAGGCCCCGTGAGGGGCTGATCACGCTGATCACGCTGGCAACCGGTTAACCGGTACAGGCCGTGATCGGGCCCATTCCATGGCCACACCTACCTTAAAGGCACGCAGGGGGCTGTATGGAGCATCTACACGCAAGATCACACTGCCCGGGCACTAGCTAACGGCTGTGCGAGGCCCCGTGAGGGGCTGATCACGCTGATCACGCTGGCAACCGGTTAACCGGTACAGGCCGTGATCGGGCCCATTCCATGGCCACACCTACCTTAAAGGCACGCAGGGGGCTGTATGGAGCATCTACACGCAAGATCACACTGCCCGGGCACTAGCTAACGGCTGTGCGAGGCCCCGTGAGGGGCTGATCACGCTGATCACGCTGGCAACCGGTTAACCGGTACAGGCCGTGATCGGGCCCATTCCATGGCCACACCTACCATAGAGGCACGCAGGGGGCTGTATGGAGCATCTACACGCAAGATCACACTGCCCGGGCACTAGCTAACGGCTGTGCGAGGCCCCGTGAGGGGCTGATCACGCTGATCACGCTGGCAACCGGTTAACCGGTACAGGCCGTGATCGGGCCCATTCCATGGCCACACCTACCATAGAGGCACGCAGGGGGCTGTATGGAGCATCTACACGCAAGACCACACTGCCCGGGCACTAGCTAACGGCTGTGCGAGGCCCCGTGAGGGGCTGATCACGCTGATCACGCTGGCAACCGGTTAACCGGTACAGGCCGTGATCGGGCCCATTCCATGGCCACACCTACCTTAAAGGCACGCAGGGGGCTGTATGGAGCATCTACACGCAAGATCACACTGCCCGGGCACTAGCTAACGGCTGTGCGAGGCCCCGTGAGGGGCTGATCACGCTGATCACGCTGGCAACCGGTTAACCGGTACAGGCCGTGATCGGGCCCATTCCATGGCCACACCTACCATAGAGGCACGCAGGGGGCTGTATGGAGCATCTACACGCAAGATCACACTGCCCGGGCACTAGCTAACGGCTGTGCGAGGCCCCGTGAGGGGCTGATCACGCTGATCACGCTGGCAACCGGTTAACCGGTACAGGCCGTGATCGGGCCCATTCCATGGCCACACCTACCTTAAAGGCACGCAGGGGGCTGTATGGAGCATCTACACGCAAGATCACACTGCCCGGGCACTAGCTAACGGCTGTGCGAGGCCCCGTGAGGGGCTGATCACGCTGATCACGCTGGCAACCGGTTAACCGGTACAGGCCGTGATCGGGCCCATTCCATGGCCACACCTACCTTAAAGGCACGCAGGAGGCTGTATGGAGCATCTACACGCAAGATCACACTGCCCGGGCACTAGTTAACGGCTGTGCGAGGCCCCGTGAGGGGCTGATCACGCTGATCACGCTGGCAATCGGTTGACCGGTACAGGCCGTGATCGGGCCCATTCCATGGCCACACCTACCTTAAAGGCACGCAGGAGGCTGTATGAAGCATCTACACGCAAGATCACACTGCCCGGGCACTAGCTAACGCAGCGTGACCGGCCAGAAACAGGCAGCAAGACAGGCCGGGGATGGAGGCGTCAAGCAAGCAAGCAGGCCTTCCCGTA